CCAGCTGTAAAGTTCGACTGACGTGTGAAATCGATAAACGTTGCTCTACTCTTCAGGTTGTCAATCTTACTTTGTCACAATAGACGCATACAAGGGTTCGAACTAAAACGAGGCTGCTTAAACTTTGTTCTACACGTTACTCCTCAGAAGTAACTAAGTACGTTTCTGGCTACTTTTTAAAAATTACTAAATGCGTCACTCGTTGCTTTTTAAAAGTCATTAAATACGGCACTATGACAGAACAGCACACGACAAAACAGCACGCGACAAAACAGCACGGTCAAAACAGCACGCGTCAAAACAGCACAGCGTCAAAATAGCGCGCCGACAAAACAGCACCTGTCAAAATAGCACGCGACAAAAGAGCACAGCGTCAAAAGGGCACAGCGACAGAAGAGCACGTGCCAAAACAGCACGGCGTCAAGACAGCATAGCGTCAAAACTGCACAGCGACAAAACAGCACAGCGTCGAAGCAGGGCATTGATATATAGCTTGAGTGTGACGTTTTCGGTTTTTCTAATCTTGAAATTTGGCGTACTTTTTTCGTTTTTTTTTTTTATTCTAAACAGAAGCTTTCGGCTTATTGCGGTGAATATATTTGTAGACTCACGAACTTCTTGTTTTTTTGGGTTTATTGACGAAAACCAGTATGCTGACGAAAATGTCATATTTAAAAGCGTTTGTTTAAAATGTATAGTGAGCAAACCAGGTACTGGTTTTCTTATTTCTTTCTGTCTGGCAGCAGACGCGACCTGTTCTGCAAGACCCACTGGGGCCCTATCGTGATCTGACATTATGGTCGTGTGCTCGTATTTGTACACAAGTTGAACATGAACTTCACTACCACTTCCTTCGGAGAGGAAAATATCAAAATCCAAAAATTTGCAAGCATTGTACTCAGTGCGTTTTTTCCCCATTTTCACGACTCCAAGAGGTGGTAAATTCGCGCACACCACAGAAACGGCAACAAAACAATCGTATTTATGCCCTCCTCCAGTAGACGGAAGCTAGGGGTGTTAAAAAATGTGCGGCATTTACGGACGCCCTTGATTTTCCGTGTTCAGTTCACGACGAAAATCTCTTCGTTGAACAACGAATTCGGCACGCAAATCGCCATCAGGTGAAAGCCTGAGATTTCGGCCTGAAAACCCCTGCGCCCGGAGCTCTTGTTGAAAGTTTAACCTATCTGAGAGACAAGATGAAAACTGCGAAAGGAGGTAGTCGAAAATGAGCCTCCCCCCACAGACACACACACACGCAGACATTCCTCCAAACGCCCTTGAAAATACTCTCCTTTTTCAGTTAAAACCGAATTTGTAAAAACGAATTCGGTGGACTTTTATAGGTTTTATTCAGTTTAAGGCGAAAACGCTGAACCCTAAATATAGCGTTTGGAGTCAAAAAATGCATGTCCCACAGTAGGCACTGAAAAGGAATGGAGGGTCTGACCAATTCGTCGAAAGCCAACTCGTCGAAGGCCAGTTTGTCGAATACGTTCTCTTGGGAGCAAGTTCGGAGTGTGGAGCATACTCGATGCGCACACGCGTACATGAAGGCTCCCTGGGCAGCACCAAAGCCCCCGCTAGTGCGTATTCTTGCTATTTCTCGAGCAGTTCTGCTGATTTTGACGTGCAAGTTTGCTGGTGATGGCGCCTACAATAAATGCATCAATCGCACGGCAATGTGCTATCGTTAGTTGTTAAAATGAAAAAAAAAGCGTGTACGGCAACGGCGTGCTGTGCTTAGCCTAAGCTGTACGGCAACAGCATTGAGGCTGTGGCATGTTTCTGCTTCACCGGTTTGCATTCTATCGATACCTTGGTCGGCAATAATCTGTGAATTTAACTAAAAAAAAACTTATCGCCTGGAAGCTGCAGCCACGTGTTTTCGGGACATTTTATTCACGGCGAATGAACTTCGCAGAATCGGTGCCCACGCTCAAGATTAAAGTAACCTTATCTTACCGGTTCAAACGATGCATCTGAAATCAGAATCTCTCGCTTTTTTTCTTTTTTGGAAGGGGGGGGGGGGGGGTTGTTTTACGCTTAGGTGGTAATTATAAAACGACGAGTACTATAACCTCACCGAATCGCCGCAAACCAGATGGTTCGTATCTTGAACTTTTGGATTTCTTTTTCCCAATAACGTTTCCTCTTTCGATGGTTCTACAAAAATGACTAGAGAATGTGGCCTACATCGAAGCGAGGATATCACCTCTAACTATCCAATCTCTTCAGAGATCACCGTAGTTAAGTAGTAGTAAGACCCGCTAAACTTATTTGTTTTTAGGAGTCACACAGCAGCAGCACACTGACTTGAGTGCGATCCCGTCGCCGCCAACGTACTTTTTTTTTAAATTGTTTCTCAACCAGCTGTTAAATAGTGCCGTACGATGTACAACCCTTCTCCTTTTCGTTCTGTTTGTTTTCAGAAAACACTATCTATTACAGCCTTTTTAACGCTCAGTACTGACGGATGAAGATAATTATCGAGCACAGAGAGGTGAAAAGCGCGCGCGAAGTTGCTACATGAGTGCTGTTTTGTCACTATGCTGTTTTTGACGCCGTGCTGTTTTGGCACGTGCTCTTCTGCCGCTCTGCCGTTTGGACGCTGTGCTGTTTTGTCCCCTGCTATTTTGACGCGTGCTGTTTTGACGCCGTGCTGTTTTGACGCTGTGCTGTTCTGACGCTTGCTGTTTTGAATGTGCTGTTTTGTCGCGTGCTGTTTTGTCGCGTGCTGTTTTGTAGTGTGCTGTTCTGTCACGTTCCCACTAAATACGTCACTCGTTACTGAAAAAAGTAGCTAGGTAGAATTGACTCGTTTCTAGTAACACGTTACGTACATGTCTGGTACCTACATGACAGCGAAAAGCTGGCGGCGTCCGAATCTGGACAAAACCGTGGGAAGGGAAGGGCGCTGCGTAAACAGGAGGATAGTAGAACACAAGTCACGGATCTCGAGCTGCACAGGCCTCCCGCTACCCCTTCATGCTCGTACTGGACGACACCAGACCTCCCTCTGTCCATCAGTTTTGGGCACTTACCTCGTTATTCCTTGGCGCACGCGCCCGACTATGCCTCAGACCACTGACGACCTTGTCGGTTTCACCGGAAGTCTTTTGCACACTCTTCTGCATCTACAGTCACATCGTTCATTTTATTTGTGAATTTAATAAATGTTCACTTTTAATCTAAATTTAATCATTCTTCATTTCGATGTCGTTCGTTGTCGTTCTTTGTGTGCTCAGGATGTGGGCTTGTAGGAACCCTGCGCACGGGCTGAAGACCTGTCTTGATTGATTGATTGACTGATTGACGAACGCGAGAGGGACGCGACGTCAAAGGGTGAATGCCAATGCGCGCGCGAGAAACCGGCGAATAGCGGAAGCAGCGTCAGGCAGCGGATGCCGCTTCTAAGCTGCACGGCGGGCGAATGAGACTGAGCAGCGGAAACAGCGCGTAGCTCGACTGGCCGAAAGGCGGCGCAAGAAGCGACAAACCGACGCGGGTCTGTGTGCAACGGAGAATGGGACGGAAGCGGAATAGGCGATCTCACTCCGCCGGGAAAAAATAAAGGAGGATTCATTTTATAAATCCCTAGGGAATGCATTAGCATGTCCCTTGGGAAACGCCACACACGTTCCTTTTTGGGAAACGCTACCACTGATCCCGTAACGAAGTAAAGAAAGGCAGCAAAAAATAGTGCAAGCAAAATAAAGAGCCAGACGAGAAAGTCGAAACAGGAAAGTGAAGGGGTCAGCGTCAGCGTTTCCCAAAGCGGGGCGTGTCTGTCGTTTCCCAGGGGTCAAAACGCGTTACCCAAGAATGCACCAATGGATCTTACTTTCCTTTTGGTACCGGGGTGTTTTCCTGTATTATCGTCGCGCGCATGTTTCCCGTAGATTTAGACGCCATGCTTGTGTCTTTTTTTCTTTAATGTGAACCCCGACAAACCCTAATTTAGCGCAGAATAACAAAGATGCCATAGAAAAACAAAAGGACCCATATGCCACCAATATACCATATTTTCGCATGAAATCACTATTTATCTCCTAATTTCATATAATATAATGCGTGCACATTTCTTAATAAAGAAAGCAAAGATAAATTTGATACACGGCCATGATTGTGTATCATAGTTTTTCTGTCGCATAGAACAGTAATAAAATAGTTTTCTTACACGTGTCTTGAAAGGTTTTCGAATAGCAATATTTTTATTAAGACGACGTTGTGCACAGCAACGAGATTATTGGTTGAGCTGTAAATGTAAAATATGCGTATAAGACAGGTGATTGAGTGAAAACATGTGAGACATATTGTCTTAAACAACATAAATTGTGATGTCCGCTGATAACCCACTTAATTTTTAGATTTGTTTTATGTGTTCCTTCTACAGTGTTATGGAATGTGGGTCGCATGAGTGCGTATGTCTTTTTAAAGCGCAGCTCTTAGGCACACGTTTCCGGCTTGAGCGGCGTCGCCGTCGGCGTAACCGTCAGGCTACGTGATCCCTCCCCCTGAAGTCACGTGACCCCCTTGACGTCACGGATGTCACGTAACATCAGGGGTTCACGTGACCTCAGGGGTGGGGGCTCATGTGGCCCCGTGGCGGAGTAGCAGGCAGGATGACGAGGTGAAAAGGAGGGGTACACCCTCCCCTCAGTACCCTGCAATAATTCTCCTAGAGAGCTGCGCTCCGATTCGGCGTTAAGGGGAGTTATAAACGGCTTTCATTTTTCAGTCGAGCAGACACTAAAAAATACCGAATCCCTTTATTAGGTATGCCTTCATCCGAAGAAAAAACAACTGACACTTTGTGTTCAACATGACGGTAACCCTAAGATTTTGAAAAAGAAAAGCGAGGTAAAGGGTGCACATGTGAAAAAAGTAGACTAAGAATGAACTATAAATAATGGAAAAAAAATATTAAAAGTACAGCACCCTGTGTGCAAACAGGAAACACTCGAGCTTGCTTCTCAGCCTTGCCTTTTTCTTTCCAGCTCGTTTTTGAGGCAGTCTCGCCCGCTTATTATAGCGGAGAATCTGGTGTGATGGTGGACGATGTCGAGTTTTCCAATGGGGAATGCCCTCTTGATGGTAAGTAACGCTAAAAATACCACCGCAAAAAAATATGCACCTCAGTCTACGGATGAAGCTGGGAGGTGTAGAACAATTTAGTGAAAACGTTTTCCGCTATATCTAACATTACTAAGCTACTTATCCCAGATTTCTGCCTATCTGGTGTCTGGCCTCCTAACGGGCAGTAGGTATGCGCAGCAGACCATCTCAGCTCACTGTGCTTGCTCCCTATTGCGCCGCGAGTATGCGGAGCGACAGTACCCACTTTTTCGCATCCGCATCCTTTTCGAAGGACCTGACGACCGTGACGTCGTCCAAGAAGTCGTCCAAAACGTCGTCTTCGACGTCGTCCTCTAGAACGCCATCCTTCAGGTCGTCCATAAGGTCATCCTAGAAATCGTCCTTGAGATCATCCCAGAGGTCGCTGGAGGTTGTCATAGAGGTCATCCTCGACGTGGTCGTTGTATTACACACGTACGATTATATTATACCTGTACTTTTTAGCACGTTGTTCTCGACGTACTCTTCGAGGTCTTCTTAGAAGTCGTCTTAGAGGTCGTCCTTGAGGTGGCCCTAGAGTTTGTCTTAGATGTGGTCCTAGATGTCGTCACGTCTTATGCACCAATTCACGTCGCTTCTTTTGCACCAATTCAGTATCCCCGCTAGAATTGGTTGTGAGGAACGATAAATTGTCGCATTCATAGATAATCACACCTCTGATTTTACGAATTTGCATCGACCATCAATGAGCTGCCCTGTAATTTTTTATCATCATGTATTAACTATGTAAAAGTAAAGAGGGAAACCCTTATTATGAAACTTTGGCATCTGGCTAGGACTGCTAGCTCTACATTAGGGCAAACAATAAGCCGTCAACGATGTGACGTTTATTTATGTGTGAACGAAGTGGTGGAGATAGTGATGATATAATTTTATAAATGAAATTAAGGAAAAGAGAAAGAGAAAAAGAATTGACAAAAATTGTGCCAGAAGGAGGGATCGAGCCCGCAGCCTTCGCCTGTGCGGGGCGACACCTTAACCGGTTAGACCATCCCGGCCTCTGATTTCGGCGTACTCAATCTATGACCAACTCTTTGTGTACTGCTAGTTTCAAATTCACTTAACTGGGCAGACGACAGCCGTTGCTTATTTAAGGCCCATGCTGGTTCCGAGTTGCGACAGTGACGTAGCACGTCATTTCAGCTTGCAAATATCGCAAAGGGCGCGTTTGCCTAGATATCTAGGGAACCACTCCTCTCCAAGGGAAGAAGCTGCACCGTATACATAATGCGGGAGGGGGAAGATTGAGAGGTGCAGCCGTAGTAATAATGTTAACGATGAGACGAAAGAGTGAACATTGCATTTTATACATTAAAGTGAGGAAAAGAGAAAGAGAAAAAGAACCGGTAGAAAATTGAGTTTGTTGAAGCCAGTGACCGGAATGTTATAATCGGTTGAGGCGCCGCCCCGGATAGGCGAAGGTTGTGGGTTCGATCCCCACTCCTGGCCCAATGTCTCACAGCTCTCTTTCTCTTTTCCTTACTTTAATGTAAGTTCGAAAATCACTCTCCCCCCTTCGCTCACATTATTACTAGGGCTGCACGTATCAGTCTTCCCTCACTCGCATTTTTTTTTGTAATAATCAAACACTTAATTTCTATGGGAGGAGGGGGGGGGGGGGTCCGGGGAGCTGTATATTCGTATTTCATGTTGATTCGGAACATGGACCATATTTTAGTATTAATGAGGGTGATTTTCTCTTCACAAATCATAGCCTTTTACTTGTTATTGTTTTTTTTAGTTTTTGGTGCCGGGATGTTTCGAAGTGTGTATTTTGGTCATTCGCATGTCTACTGGAAGTTGCCGCACACCTCTACCGTGTTCTGGCTTCATCAGCATACGCCCCTTTAAACACCTTTTTTTCTGCAACACAAAACAAAATAATAAAAGGCACCAGTTCTGTGTGGAAAGTGCCCCGATTAAAAACCGGCGAATGTGTAGCCCAATCTTTGTTCAGTAGAGTACGTTGCTGGGCTAGTTGGTCCATCCTATTTTAACACATAAAATAGTGAAGAAAAAAAAGGGCAAAAAGTAAACAGCGCAATCGCTTGTCCTGTTACATTCCTCTGATTGTCTTTTTTTGTGCTATTTTGTATGTCTAAAGAATATATGTTTCACTAAAGCTCAAGATTGTAGAAGTCTTGATAAGGTATTATAATATGTATATATATATATATATATATATATATATATATATATTAGTATATATTAGTATATAGAAAAAAGATCGGAGTTTGACGCTTTAATTGTGCTTTCAGATTTCTGTTCCTTTGAGGAAGACGTCTGCATACCTTGGGTTGACGTGACACGTAAGCTAAACATTCAAATTGTTTCAAAGCCATGCCGAAAATATGCAGCATTCATGGGCTCGTGCTAAATCTGGTAATATTTATTAGCATAACAATTGACTCCGTAAGTATGACGAAAAGGTTCAAACAAACCACTGCTTGGGGCGTAGTAGTCGATAAATACGTGTTTGGCTGTTCCTGAGACATTTGCGACGTCAACTTCCGAGCCTCAAGGCGTCTCTAGATGCCTGTTGCATACGACGAACGCATTACAAACGCACATTTAATGACTGAAGTATGCCGTCTTCAACAGCTTCAATCGTTTGCAGAATGATACGATTTCGATTTTGTTTTTATTTGGAGCATGGCAGGTTTAAGAAAAATACTTAGGTATATAAGAACGAACTCCATTTGCGTGCGATACGGCATACTCACTAACGAATATCCTCACACGTATGGAGATGTACTAAAATACAGCGAGAAAAGTATATCTTTAGAACATAATATCAAAGCAGTGTCGGGTACTTTTTTGAGTTACCAGTCAAGGTTTATTGTAATGAAAGTGCAATGATTTTGACTCTAGCGTGAGCGGTTCAGGACTCTAAACTTCATTTTTCGGGCTCGCATAATGGGGGTGCGTTTTGCACCTGGTTTGTAATTATCAAACTGAGGAAAACTCCTACTGATTATTCAAGTTGAAGTAAGACCCCAAGCGCGCATGACGGAGAAGGAACGCTCCTTTATGCCTTTGGAAGATTCGAGTTTACTGTTAACCCCGACTGTAAAAGATAACGAGGCCAGAATGGGCCTGCATGGCCAGTCTCGCACTAGCTCACTAAGGAACACTCTAGGTCGAATGCTCGAGGTGCCTAGTGTAGGTAGATAAGGAGACAATAGAGGCTTTGTCGAGTCACAGCCAGCTGTCACGCGGACTCATTTTCACTCGCTGCTGCCACCTTCGACCCTCATCCATTCTTTTCTGTCTAGGCAGAAGTCCGCCGATTACATCGTTATTTTCTTTTTTAGGCTTGTGGATGCGCTGTCATCTGCGACAATATAGATATATATATTTTTTTTCTTTTTCGCGGACAGTCCGCTTGGCAACACAGATGTGCACTCAAGCAACTGTTCTGTCGAAAATCCTTAAAACGTGTGCTGGCCTCCACTTCGACCTTAATACACTTCACGCCGTCGTCATCATACGTTATGCGGCTTCTCAATATTTTCACCTTCCAAAATATTGCGGGGGGTCGGTGGCCAAGTGGGGTGTAGCGCACACAAGTGGAACGAAAGCTCGAGCTGCAACACCCAGGGATGATGGGCTTAATCCCCACCCCTACCTGTTTGAATCTGGATGAGCATCGTACCAGCGTGCGGTCATGTATCACTGCAGCGGGGTGCATGTTAAAGACCCCAGGCTAGCAGTCGTACTGCACTGGCTAAATTGCTTCTCTGCGGTAGCTAGCAATATCGCCATGTTCTGCCAGACTAAGCTCCGGCTGTATAAACTACCGACTAATTTGTCGTTAGTTTGTACTAACGACAAATTAGTAAAAACTAATTCTACTAATAATTCGTTCGCGCAGCTCGAGCGTCGATCGCAATTGTGCACGGGCGCTCTTCGCTTCCGCAAACCTACAGAAAGTTGACGTCGAGACTAGAAGTTTAGTCGACTGTAACCAACATCAATCAAGGTGGTCGTGTAGTGCCTCGCAAAGAACCACCGAACCCGCGAAGTCATTGTGTTGTTGTACTGGCAAGTAAAAGCCGGTTGTGAAACTTTATTACGAGCTTTCGTCATCGCTTTGTGGTGCTGAGACGATAGAAACATTCCTCATAATTAGATATTTAAAAAAAGCAATCCTTACAAACTATATTTACTTTTTTATCAGACATTGTCTTACCTCACGTCGAGCCCCTCCGCATTTGCCCATAACAACGGCCCTAGCAATGGTCTGTTTGGAGTGGAGCGCCATGTTGTGACGTCATCGCTTAAGGGGTCAATTGCTTATAGATATCACGCCGAGATTGCCGTAATATTTCGAGACATATCCCTCCCTCCTAAAAGCGAGATGAAATTTTTCGAAAATGAGGAGTGGGCTAACTTTCGGTGTGCAATCAAGAAACATTTTAAGAATGCTGCTTTTATATTTTGTGACATACCAACCTTGTTTTCATATTGAGGGGCAATGGAACATAGAAATTCGCTTTCCCAGTTTGCAACGTTCACTTACCTTCCGCTGTGGAAGAGTAACACTAATTCTGCTGAGGTGCACCATGGGCGAGAACACTGAAATTCGTAGAGGTGGTCTATCTTTCGTTGTTTTTGAAAAAGTAGCAAATCGTGCCAAAAATAGGAATGGTCTATCCATCGGAAGTTGGGTATTTTTCGGGATATTAGGGTAGGTATAAAAACATTCCTTATACACGAAGAAAAATATTAAACTCGATTGCATATTTTCAGGCATACCCTTTTATAAAAAACATGAATAAAGCAAAGGTGGATTACGACGATCTATGTTATTGTATTCAAGAAATTTATTTCTTCATCTTTGGTGTATAACTCAAGTACATGTGTGGCCGGCAACTTTGGGGGCTCAATTCTGGAACGTTCCCTATTTTATGCCATGCTGTTGCCCATTTTATGCCATGCGATGCCGCAACATTCAGCGAGCACTCTTCGCAGAGTACAAGAATCTCATGTGTCAAAAAGTAGTTGACCGAGCCACAGCGTTGGACTTGGCTATGAAAACTGCCTCCGATATGCATGGTTCGAGAGCCAGCGGCAGGCAGGGTGAAGGTTCCCGCGCCCAGGAGTTGCAAAACCCCAAAGAGGATCCCGAAACGTGATCGGATCAACCAAGCACATTGAGGGTGCTTTCCTTCAGAGCGAGGTGGTCTCTTTTCAGTGCAAAAAGGTCGGGCATATTTATCGAGTTTTTCGCTCACTGCGAGGAAAAGAAAACCCGCGAGTGAAGAAGAAACGGGTCAAGTAACTCTAAGTGAAAGAGTGAACAGGAAACGTTGCTGTCCAAAACACGACGGCAGCATCACATCAACCGCTCAAGGTGCAGAAGTCTCCGTCGAGAATGGAACTCAAAAATTTGGCGGCGGTCTCTCTGACATAAAAACAGCAGTGCCGCCAGAAGTTCTGTCAAACAAATTTTAGGCAGACCTCACTTAAGTTGCGGACATACACCACGGAAACTGTTAAACCTTCAGAAGGTATCGACGTTGAGGTGTCGGATAAAGAGTAGACGAATCTTCTGACATTTTATGCGCTAGACCAATCCCGCCCACCCCTACTTTCGCGAGAGCGACTGCAACAGCTGCGGTAAGACTTGAAGCGAATGGCTGGTATAATTCATACAGAAGCTTTCGCAAGCTCGAAGTTTATCTTGACATTACAGCGCAGAAAACAATGTGAAAACAAGAGACACACAAAAGGACAAACACAAGCGCTGGTATGAACATCCTACACAGAGGAGAGCAAGGACGGGCAACATCCGATGTCGACTGGTTGCAAGACACTTCGCACAAGAGTCAGGAAGTCTTCACAAACCAATTAGGAAATATTTCGGGACAATCAAAATTGCGGGTTTCGAAAGAACGAAGCCAGCCCAAACACCTGATATCTAGAAATGTTCCTTTTGCGTTACTGCCAGCACTGGAGACAGAACTAACAAGGCTAGAGGCCCTGGGCGTCATCGCAAGCACAACAAGTAGCGAGTTCGCAGCTCCACTTGTTTCACTGCCCCAAAAAGATAGCTTCATAAGGTTGTTTGGGGATTATAAAACCACACTGAACCCTCCCAGGGGAAAATCATCCAACTTCCAGCTGGATTATGGAACTGGAAATCAGGCAGTCCAGCTGGATTCCAGCTGGACCCAGCTAGAATTCAACTGGACCCAGCTTGAATCCAGCTTGACTGCCTTATTTCCAGTTCCAGAATCCAGCTGGAAGTGGAGTGATTTTCGCCTGGGCTGTCTTAGATGTCGAGCGCTACCAGTTGCCAAGAGGGGAAACACGTTTTTCGGTACTGGCTGGTGGACAGAGTTTTTCCAAAATTGACCTCAACAGAGTTTATCAACAGGTTGTCATGAATGAAGATTCCCGTAAGCTCCTGATGAAACGGTACACCTGGGTTTGGAAGTAATGAACCATCTGTCATTTGGAATTTCTGAGGCTCCTGCCATCTTTCAACGTGTTTTGAACAACATGTTAAAAGGAATCCCTGGAGTGACTTGTTACCTGGACGATGACGCAGTCACTGTCAAGGCTCAGGAAAACCATCTTCGAAGCTGGGAGGAGGTGTTCGAGAGGGTTGTTGAGTGAGGTGTTCGCGTCAAGTGTGATACATGTCTTCTTCGAAGACCAGCTCCAGTACTGGGGCGTGTGATAAGCCCTGAACGGATTCACACATCTGACTAGGAGCTGGCTGCCATCGTTAGTGCACCAACGCCTGCGGACCGGCATTAGCTTAAAACACTCCTGTGAGCTCTGAACCACTACGGCAAGTTCGTGCCACAACTTGCTAAAGTAGTGGCACCCCTCTACAGGCTACTTCGCCAAGATGTTCAGCAGCCTTGGGACCAGGAGTGTGACGAGGCATTCAAGACAGTTAAGGAGCTTCTTGATTTTCGGAGAATGTTTGCATACCATGACCCAAATGCATCATGGCAGCTGGCATGTGATGCATAATCCTGCGGCGTGGAGGTGGTCGTGTCTCACATTGCGGAAGATAGAACTGCTTGATCGGCAGCATACGCATCTTGTACCCTCACTCTAACAGAAAAAAGGATACAGTCAACTGAAGAAGGAAGCCTTGGCTTTGCTCGTTGGAGTGAAGAAGTTTCACTTTTACCTTTGTGGTCCCAAGTTCTGTTTCGTGACAGACTACAAACCGCAGCTGGACTTCAAGATTTGCAGTTAAACTGTCGGAGTGCAACTATTGCTTGGAATTTCAACGTTCAACAGAAAATAGAAGCCGACTGTTTTATAAGGCTACCGATGAACACGCTAAGAGAGGAACCCGTGGAAGGGTAGACGTTTTGTTTGCTGCGTTTGCTCTCCTTGCCAGTAAGCAGTTCATACATTGGAAAAGAGACTGTGCTGGACAATTCGCTCAGTCGAGAGTTAGAATACGTACTGAAAGGCTGGCCATCTTAAGTGTCAGATTAATCGCTGAAGCCCTTTCTTCTGCGTAGCACTGACCTGTCAGCACACCAAGGCTTCCTCAGGTCGGGGCTGAGATTCGTAGTGTCGAGAAAGTTCCGAAATTTGCTGCTGGACGAGGTTTACGAAGGGAACATAGGTGTTGTACGTGCCACACAACTAGCCAGGATTTACTTCAAATGGCCGTCGGTGGACAGTGATGTTGACGTCCAGATGAAAGGATGTGAACAGTGTCAACAGCAGCGTAACCTCGCAGCTCGGGCACCGTCGCATTCTTTAATACGGCCTGCGAAGCCATGGCAGCGTGTCCACATCGACAACGCAGGACCATTCGGATGAAAAATGCTTTTGGTAGTAGTGGACGCTCACTCCAAGTGGCCCGAAATTTTTGAAATTTTGTTGACAACATCGTGCAGCACGATTGAAAAGATACAAGAGTTGTTTTCACGTTTTGGAAGTCCAGAGATATTGGTGTTCAAAAATGGTACCCATTTCACGTCGCAACAACTCAAAGATTTTTGGAAGAGTAGCGGAACGCGTCATATGGTGACAACACCGTATTACCCAAGCAGTGACGGGTTAGCAGAAAGATTTGTGCAAACCCCCAAGGCGGCTTTGTGCGAGAGAGTTGTTTCGATGTCCATGAAGCAAACTGAACAAGTTTCTACTAAGTTATCGCAACGTACCACATTCAAGAACTGGAGAGCCCCCAGCTATTTTGCTGTTGGGGAGATACATCCGTAAAAGGTTGGATGCTGTCAAGCCGTCAGTACAAGGTAACGTGGCCAGAGATTAGTAACGTCAGATAAGACAAAGAAGGTTCCGAGAGCGGGAATTCTAGGTTGGCGATCAAGTTCGCATTTTGAATTGCCAGACGGGGAACAAGTGGTTGATGTCTACCATCTTCTTGAGGAGTGGACCCGTCTCCTACAAGCAGCCGGTAGAGTAGGACTGGCACTGTCGTTTGGCGCCGTCACCAAGACGAGATTCGGCCCGATGCTGACCAAGACGCAGATACACCATTTCCTGTGCAGGAAGACAGAGATGATGTTCCACCTCGACCTTCGGAGCTACCGAGCACTGTTCATCGCGGATAGAAATCAGGCACACTGGCGTCTACCAACATATAAAGGCAGGCAGCCGTGACACCAGCACGTCGGTGCCCAGCAGGGATGCACCTTTTTCTTGCGTGCTATTCTCCTCAGGTGTGAACTGAAAATCGGGGCGGGCATCGCAAATAAGTGTGGGGTATATCTGTTGTTTGGCTCAAGTACATGTGTGTATGGTAACTTTGAAGGCTCAGTTCTTGAACGTTCGCCACGCTATGCCATGCTGCTCAATAGGTTGTCGCCAGCAAGTCGCGCTCATGATGGTGCTGCTATAAATTAATAACTCAGCTTTTACAGCCTTTGTGACGTGTTAATGTGGCTCGAAAAACCTTTTGATAAAAAATGAAATAAAGTAAAGGTGGATTACCTCGCCCTTGTTTACACTATTAAGCAACTGTATTTCTTTATATGTTTATTTTATATTCTTAAATAGTCGGATCACTTTATTCGTGATTGATATTTTTTTTAAGATTGCCGTCCAAGACGTAGCCTTTTTATTCAAGATCGACATTTGCTTGAAATATTTGGCGGAAATAAAAATTATAAAGTTAAAGATCATCGGTTTACGAAAAATACTGAGCTACGCCGATAAATGCAATTTTAGTCACCTTTTTCTTTTACAATCTTCTCAGCCAATTCAACCCAAGGCAATCGCGGGTGGCAAGTGCAGCGTGCAGAAAACTTTGCCCAGCTCTCCAAAGACCACACATTGCAATCTGGGGACGGTGAGTTTTTTCTGTTTGTTTACAAATTACCCTCGAAACACTGTTGAAAATTAAGGTTAAAACGATCCTTCCCTGCGCGCGGGTATGGGAGCGCTAAAAGAGAAAACAAAGAAGTTGAAGTAAATCGTTCACCAGAGCTGGGTCGTCCTGTTCCTTTCCCCTACGAGCGCTCTCAAGGCGCAATAAACACAACACAAAGCCAATGGTACTTTGTTAAAAGTATTGGCTTATGTTTTCCCGCAAAAATTTCACGAAAAATTATTTGTGTCTTTGTATATCTTAATTGGCTCTGCACTTCTTGTGCATATAGACTGGAATGTACGTAGCACGTCACTAGTAACGAGTACTTCTACCTGGTGATTTTTTCGGCAACGTGGAGCGCATTTGGTTATTTTTTAGAAAAGGAACGAATAACGAATTTAGTTACTTTTAATGCCAAGTAACGTGTAACGGTACTTCGTTACTTTTTAGGAGTAACGTTTACAAAAACGTTTAACCAGTCTCGCTTTAATTCTGACCTGAGTATGCGTCTATTGCAACAAATGTTGATGGAAAAACATGAAGATAATTAAAGAGTATGACAGTATAGCAGGGTTTATCGCTGAACACGTGAGTCCAACTCTACGGCTAGAAACGTTCTTCACCCAGAAAACACAATAAGGTTCGTTGTTTGAACCTTCTAGAACCGTTTACAGGCCGAATGTAAAAACGGAAGTTTCCAACGCAAGAAGGCACAACATTCATTGTAAAATTCGAACTTTAGAAGCGGAGAGAACGAAATGGAGAGGGAATGTCAGATTTACAGAGTTGTGAAGCACTACACTGCCGCTCATTTGAGCGCGTCAGTAGACCGACTCTTCAGCGTCGTCGGAGATGTGTTCTCAAGGAATCGTTGAAACAGAACAGATGAAAACTTTGAAAGGTAGCTACCGCTTCAGTGCAACAACTACTAAAACAAGAACATGTGTATTTCGTCGTAAAAGTAGCTAACATAGTAATCCGGTACCTTTGAGGTAAAGTAACATGTTTTTCCGAAAATCGGTAACGAGCGGCATATGTAGTTACTTCTTAAGCAAGTACTGAGTGACGGTAACCACGTACTTGGAGCAAGGTGTAATTTCCGCATATATTACTCTTATTCAACTATGAAATTTACGAGGAAATATATAGGAGTCGGAAGTTTCAGGAATACAAGATCTATAAAGACAGCACAAATTTCCCTTAACTTGATGTTTGTTTTTAACTGAATCATTTTGGGATAGATTTCTTTAAATTGAAACCTTACTTTGGAGTCGTGGGGACGCATTGCAACTGCTTTTAACTTGTTTAATCTTGATAACTTCTTTGGCACCGTGTTAATACTATCGTCTTTAAGTCAACAAATACATCCCTATTGGAAAGACCAGTTTAAACTGGTAACCAGTTCAAACTGGTACCAGGTTCAAACTTGGATATTGCTCCAGTTTCACCAGTTTGATACTGGTTGAACTGGTCACACTGGTTGACTGGTCATGGTGGTTGAACTGGTCATACTGGTTGAACTGGTCATGGTGGTTGAACTGGTCATGGTGGTTGAACTGGTAACCAGTGGCTTATTGCCACTGGTTAAATTGGTTGAACTCGACAAACAAACTGTGCATACTGGTCTTACTGTGAAACTGTGCATACAGGTCTGACTGTGAAAATGTGTATACTGGTAATACTGTACCACTGCGTATACTGGTTCACTCCAAGCAGTTAAACCAGTTAAACTGGTAATATCGACAACACAGGTCGTAAACGGATAAAATTCACTTTTTTTCACAAAAAATACACATACTTCAGACCACAAAAATAAACATAAAAACATATTTACAATTTAAAAAAAATTGTCATGATATTATTCATTATAGTCCCAGCCGGTCGGCGAAATTTTCCACATATTCTGGAGTGTCGGGGTCCCGGTGGTGGATAACATAGTACCTCAAGGCATCTGAAATAAGAATAAACATCAGAAATTAGAGCCATGGCAGATTTATTCGCACCCGTCTGTTCTAAAACGGTATGTATAACTAATGCCACGAATGAAAAATATGCATTATCATAAACAGTATGAGAGGGAATATGGAAGCGTGCGCCAACCGTACATGTGGTGCCAGTCTAGCGGCAATTAAGTATAAACCGCATGTAAGCGATTTGGCGAGCGACAAGAGAAGCGACAACGATCCGCTTCGCTGTCGCTCGGTCACTCGCGCGACGAGACAAACCGCATGAAAGCGACGGCAGCAAGCGACCAAGGCATGAGTGACGATTTCTAGAAATCCAAAAACCGAGCGACGCGACGACCGACCGAGGGAAATCTCCGTCGCTCGTCGCTGATTCTCGTCACTGTCACCGTCGTTCGCTTAATCGCGTAGATGCGGTTCAGCCTTTACGGAAAGCAGCGCCCAGGAGCGAAAATATCCTGTTGTTACCCCCTTCCTGCCTCCCCAGTCTGTCGTCCGCTACGCAACTCGCAACCACTATGGTAGAATATCTCTGAAGCTGCATACACACTGGCGGTTGTATTACTAGCATAGCTGTTCCAAATCGGGTAGCTGAAACGTTCAGTTTCACATGCATCTGATCATGAAAATGAATCCAAATGGTCGAGCCTGCTTACCATGGCTCGCTGGCGCGGAGGCAGAGGCAGCCATTGCCAGCGCCGCAATGAGGACGGAGCGAATTCCAAACACGCCGTTCTGGGACGCAGCCATTTCGCCCGCGAGCGAGTGAAACTCAGGTGGAGGACGTCGTCAGCCACAGGAACCATCGGCAGAGGCAGCACTCAAGGCTCCTGCTAACTATCTTATACAAACACAGCTTGAAGACAACTTGTAACCTCCCCAAGCAGAACAACAGCGGCCCCAAACAACGAAGATCCAACCGGCCCAACGTGCGCCCAACCGTCGCGCCAGATCCGTTTTTTTTATTTTTTTTTTTTGGTTGCCGGAGCTGTCGTTGACGCCGACTGGCGTTTCGAGCGGGCGCGAGGGCCGCGCTGATTGGCCCGCGCGCTCTCTGTCCTGGCACGTGAGCACCTCTCCCCTTGCAAGGCACCCTGGGCACCGGCGCATTCCAGGGGCCTGACCCGTACTGCCACATTTTCCCGCGCTTCTCCAACATCACAATAGAGGCTCCCTGCCGCGGCCTCGGACACTTGCGCTGGAGCCTGGAAGCGGCTTCTCGGTGCAGGCCAGGGTGGATAAAGGCCGTGGTAAAAAGCGGGAAAACTATGAAGTCCAAGTGGGAACGATTGAAGTCATGGCGTTTTTTTTTAATTTTTCGGACCTCGAGAAAAGAGTGCACGTTACAATCGAGGGCGCGTTATATTCGAGTAAACTTGTCCCATCACCCACATAAAGCATGGTGCAGCAGTTATTAACGTTTTTATCTCAAGTTTTGTAGAATTTAAACTGGTTTAACCTATTTTTGGGAAGAAAATATTAAAAAAAAAAAACCTTTAAGAATATCGAAGTATGTTGGCTCTTACTTTTTTGGATTGATGAAGTGTTCTCTAGCTAAATAAATAAAGCTGACCTTTCGTGTGGGCATTAATATGCCATGAATTCAGTTGCAAATGAATTAATTGTTTGTAGTACCATATCGCCCTGTGGCAATCGCGAGATGGTAGAACATATATGACAAATAAATAGCTTCAACACTGTTAACAGAACCTTTGGTTGCGACTTTATTTTGCACAGTGAAGGTTACGAATGCCTCTGCGCTATCCAATTCGCACACCCCTACAAATAAAGTGAAAAAGAGGGGTCCATCTGGTAACCAGTTAGGCCAATCTGGTGACCAGTTTGGTCAATCTGGTTACCAGTTGGACCAGTTTGGCCAGTCTGGTGACCAGTTTGGTCAATCTGGTTACCAGTTGGACCAGTTCGGCCAGTCTGAGGACCAGTTTGGCCAATCTGGTGACCAGTTTGGTCAATCTGGTTGCCAGTTCAGCCAGTGTGGTGACCAGTTAGGTCAATATAGTGACCAGTCAGGCCAATCTGGTGACCAGTTCGAAGGCAATCTGGTGACCAGTTAGATCAATATGGTTACCAGTTAGACCAGTCTGACTACCAGTTCCACCAGTTTGATTTCCAGTTAGACCAGTCTGACCAGTCCAAATACCAGTTTGACCAGTTTAAATACCAGCATGACCAGTTAGATTTTCAAACTGGTCTTTCCAATAGGGATGAACAGTTTTATTAATATAATATGGAAAATATTCAGATTTTAGTCTATGCGCATTCGCATAAAGAGTAAACATGAGCGTAAAACTACAAATAAATCAGTATAAATTCGGAAAATACAACTAAAATGTTAGGGGATCATATCAGCTTCAATAAAACCTGATCAATCTTGATACTTGTTTAATGCGAATGCAATGTTAAGCTACACATCACAGATTTACGCCCATGTATGTCGCCTCTAATGTAGTATTTTTTTTTGCTAAATTTAGCAAAAAATGGACTTCACGTGACTTATGCTCCTATTCCTGGTTCCCCGCCAAATTTTGTGGGAAATTAACGAATTCAGTTTTCCCGCTAAATTTAGCGGAAAATTTACGTCATGTGACCTATGCACAAATTCAGTTTTCCTGCTCTATTGAGTGGGGGATGGAACACCTGCCCCTGCATGCAACGAGAAAGGATTTCTCATTAATAGATATTAACTAAGTAATTTTACAAATTTGCCTCCACCATATAAAATTTTTTCTGCTTAACTACTTATTTGAATGGCGTGTTACTAATCAAAAGATGAGGTTCAAAATCTTATTGGTATTTATTAGTCACTAACAGTGTAAGAACTTATTCGATTAGCTAGAAGAATAGCTTAGACTTTCCCTGGTTCAGCTCGGCAATAAGAATTTCAAATACCGGTGTTTGTCCAATCATAGGGGTTCAGTTAAAATTTACTTTGCTGCAGAATGCTATGGTACAAATGACGGTAAACACCCCACCTCCCTAACCACCGCTACCGGCAAGCCTTATTTCTTAAACTTATATTGACGTTTCGTTTTCCTCCGAATGCATCTGTATGCGACGCAAAGTTTAGGCTGTTCACCGTGTTGCAAATGTAGATTGAAAACTGATAAACTAAATACATTCCTTACCAGGTCAATTTCACTATACCATAATATTAGTAAAAAGATTGAAGTGAGCGCAGCACAAGTAAATTATTACACATAAAACGTTTTTTTTTGTCGGTGGAGCTTTTAAAAAAATGGCAGCTATAAATCCTTCCTACGGCACGACAACTAAGGAGTTATGTGGTTTTTGTGACATAGTGAACGCTATCGGTGTAGCTCCTTTTCTTGTTTGCAATACACCAACAACAGTTCACAAACTTTTAAATGTGTCTTAATCACGCAGATAAAGTCGAAATATACATAATGTACACTGTGTTTTGAGCTGCGCTAGATACTCATTTATGAGCTTTCTGAGGTCGGGAGTCGCGCTCAATTCCGATAAATTTAGGAGAAAATCTTTACTCCTTAAATGTAGCGGAGGAACAAAATTAGTGCAATATTGTTGAAGAATTAAAGTTTTCCTGTTAAATTTAAAGTAACCTAAAATCTCTGATCTTTGTTTGTTACAGTTTAGATTTATACTCTTACTCTCCGTGTCACATTGCCGCGTTGCACTTTTTCTGGACTCTTGTTTATTTAACCATCAGCGTAGTCACATCGGGCGTGATAAACACTAATTGATCAAGTACTTGGGAATACATACTAGACGTCATTTACATTGCCCGACTCAAAGAAGTGCGGTGCCTCACATACTTAGCGCCATGACAAAATGGTCTGTTTTTGTTCTGTTTTGTGCTGTTTCTGCGGCTACCGGTCGACCAGTGTGTTCAAGTTTTGACTCTCCTATCGTAGCCCAGCATGGGGAAGAAATTCTAAAAGCTGCAGGGGCCAGTTGAGCTATGAGTGACCGGAAATTATAAATATTTGGGTAACCGTGTGGCAGTGTTAAGTTTGAGGAAAACTGTGCCTTACTTTTGTACTGTCGTTGCTTATAGCCAATTGTATTTCCCATCAGGCTACTACCTCCTGTTCAAAGGCACGGGCGACATAACAAATTCAGCCGTTTTGAAGCTCCGAGAACGGCGCTTCCGGTGCGCATCTTTCTGGTTTTTTATCTCCAAGAGCACCAGCGGGTGCACCATTTATGCCGGAGACAAGGTCTTGCGACACCCTACCAAGCGCTGGAGACTTTACTTCTTCAATTTGAGCTGGGGATTGAAGGATGGGGTAAGTTTGCCTCCAGGTTAGAAGCTGCACTTGCGCACGCCAAGAACCTTGCAGAGGCTGGTACCGAGAGTTCGTTGCATTTTACAGTTACTCATCAAACTCACGCGGAACGCGTTAACAGTGTCTTTTTTATGTGAACGCTCTTCTGGCGGCAGCCGAGCAAAGGCTTCGTGACGTTTTGCTGAACAAGCTTTCCCAAAAAAGATGTACGTCAACAGGCGAGTATTCAGCTTGCAACAGGATAATGTCACCAGGAGAAAACAAAGTTTGTGTGTTCTGTAGAGACGTTGTGGACACTTTCGTAACAACCTATGTGTTTGGTTCTGAGAAAAGAGGCTGTAGTGAGAGAAATGAAAGAGCTTCAAGAAAAATACAATATTATCTAATGTAGTATAACAACATATATATATTGCTTGCCTACGTTCAATTATGTTTATGGGACAAATTATATAACAACTGGTCTTTTATTGTAGGGCTAGAATAAATTAAATTTGATAATACGAAAGAGTTAAACAAAAGGGACGGAAACAACAAACATCTCTCGACCTTCAACACACTGAGCCGAAAGATGTTTGTCCTGTCCTTCTTCTTTGTACAATTCTTTCGTATTTTTGAATCAATCACCAACACGCTCAATCCAAGTTTTGTAAAATAAAACTCATAAATAATATCAAAAACAAGTTTAATAGGTAAATAAAATCTCGAATGTATGGTATGTGATACAAAACCCTACGGCACCTTCCTAACAGTGACACATAAAGTTCAACATATCTCCCGTTAATATTAGTGTTTTCACCTCCTCTGATCTTAAATTCGAGTTTTTTTTTAACTCCGCTAATTTTAAAAGGCAGTTGAATAAGATGCTTATTTACTCTTAGGAGTGCATGTTTGCTTGTTTCTGTTTTTTTTTAATTATACGCATATATAATTTTTGTGTTTTTTATTTATTCCGCACGTGTTAGCTTTTATTATTTTGTGCTCCACTACAAATAAAGGAGACAATGAAATTCTTACCGTTGGTCTATATATAAAACCGCCATCCTATCTCGAGTTCAGCTCTAAATGGCTACAAGATCTAAACTGTGTCGCGCTTTGATTTGTCAGTGTAAAAATGTCTATTGCCAACCCTTCTTCCAACAGATGACGATACGTGCGTTTTCTGGAACCGACGAGACTGCGTTCGTCGCCATCGATGACATTGAGGTTGACGAGCGCGAGTGCAGTGAGCTTCGTGAGTCGAAACTTTGTTTAAACATGAGGGGTGCTGGGCACGATGCGATGAAGGTTTCTCAAGTGCTAGGCGTTTGATTAAAAGTTCATGGTGTTTTGTCACTGAAGAGAGAAACTGTGCATCACCGAACACCCATTCTCCTCCCGAATTCATCACTATAGGCTGGCAGCGGAAGTCAAAGTTTTATAACTTACTATTTATTCTATATTTTATTGGTTTTGAACGTAAATATTTCAAAAGTTTTAAGTGATCTTAAAAAAAAATTTAAAAAATAACGTATAGCAACAGCAACCGAAAACACATGAGGATAAGCAGCAAACTTCTACCGGAAGCTCCTTAATGTTTTGTGTTGAAAATCTGTATGCGTTATGTATATATTTTAAATCAGAGATGCCAAAGTTTTAAATCCGAATGCCAAAGTTATAAATGTGTGGCACCTAATCCATACCACCAACGCTGAATTTTGGCTGATACTCTGCGTTCAGCGACGTATAGTATGTTTTGTTAGTGATAAATACCCGTCGTGCCATTTTTTACTGAATACTCACTATGTATGCCTTCTTTAAACTGACAGTATTGCAGTTTAGTGCAAGTTCATCTTCACTGTTTTCTCGTGAATTTAAATAGCCGACTTGCACGCAATTGCATGTTTCCACTTCCCCGTTAGACAGGCTTTGTTCTACGTCATTTCATAAAATTAGGTGACTTTTTTTTTTTGCTATTCACTTCTCAAAAAATTTCAAGGGATATTTAAACATTTTCAACTTGCTGCATATTCAAGGTTTTGCCGTAGCGTGAGCTCTATGTAAAATCAGTTATAAATCTATTGTAGGTGAGGAACATCCACGGGAATCAAAATGATAGAATTCGGCTATTTACAATTTCATGGAAGAACCTAGCAGAGAGCACGAGTATTTGCATTTACTTCTTGAAGATCGCTGAATAGAGCCTTCTGCATTAAAGACAGTAAAAGAAAAAGTAGGGAATACACAAATTCACCGCACGTAAGCGTCGGCGTCAAAGCATAAGACGGACCCTGTGTTTGACATATTTCTCGCGAGTGCACTAGATTGCATAGGTATATATCTACCCTTCCAATTGGTTTTCTCAGGCAATGTGAACCGACACCTTAACACATGCTTAAAGATAACGACGTCTCGCTTGAATAAAACGTAAGGGACGAGTCGTAGCGTGTATTATATTTCTAACTTCAGTATAAAACCTCTATGTGAGCGCTTTCATTCAAGCGCAAGACTCTGTTTTACTAATCAAAATGTAGTTCACCGTGAATAAAATAAGAACATAAAATAATGAAGGACAAAACTCTCTGTGGTACTGACTGTGCATAAGTTGTTTTGCATTTTAATTGTATAAGCATGAATAGGCGGCGTATTTCTACCTTAGACGTATAACGGTAAAGTTCTACTCAAGCTAAATACTTAAGGTCTGGGATTAGAAAGAAAAATTTCATAGCCAGATGTATTCATCTTCCTCCCTTTCGATGCTTTATGAAATTAGATATCATGATGGCTTCAACTTTATTCGGATTGCGGATAAGTATAAAAAGCTTAAAGATAATTCCACTTTTTATGCCACTGGTACTTCACAAATGACAGTTATTTCCTAGCCATACATATGTTTAAATATGCAGATGGGCCTGTTGGAAGAATATTTATTCTATTATGTCTACATTTTAGTGTGAATTACTTGATTATTAAGCTAAACGGAACCTGGAGGTGCATACTATAATATTTTCAACATACTACGCCAAAAAATGAGGGGAAGAATGGAGATTTGGACAGGACACGGCGTGCGCCATTTCTTGTCGTCCACATTTGCTTTGTCCGCCCGTGCTGACGTTGTACGTAAAAGATAAGCGTTTCAGCTTAGGATGTACCACCGTCCATACTCAAAACCATGCGAGCAAATGCAGTGTCGTGATTGTGTCACGTCGATACGCGGTCCGCCTGTGGCCACGACTCACCCAAAAATCACGTGACACTCACACGACATTGAGATGACTTTGATGGCGTCCTATGCGGTATGTCGTAAGATAAATTGAAGTACGTCCCAGGTGGCAATCGTGAAGGTAAAACGAGGTGGTTCTGTATTTGAGGAAAACCACACAACTCGTTTTTATGTGCCCTCCAGGATCAAGAATATTGGGATTATTTTTCATTTTGGTGCACGGGGGCTCCAGAAAATAATTTTCAAAGTACCGCTAATGCCACTCTTTCCCGTAGCGTGGCGTCATATCCAGAGTTTCCGGAATCTCCACTCTCCTGCATCTTCAGGGCCTATCGAACTATGCACTGGTAGTCATGCTATTTTTAAAAAGGTCAATAAAAGACGTTACGACCGGTGCCAGTGCTAGAGAATATATCTGGGAAGCTAGCAATTGCACGCGCTGCCCCCACCACCGACAAGTGCTTGACGGCCAAAAGACCTGGGTGTGACGTAACGACTCGTTGGAAGTGTTTCTTGTTTTTTCGCGTTTAGTTACATCGTCGAGGAAAGCGAACGTTATGGTCAGATTCCCAGGAGAAAAATACTCTATAATTTAACTCTCTCTTTTTTAAGAACCCCTTCAGCTTCTGTGTAATAAAAATTGTGTCTGTGTACTATCTCCTTTGGGCTTCTATCCTCTTGTTACACTGCGAGAATTTAAACATCTTCGTAAGGCTGCTCGGTGGCCCTGCACTTTTAGAAAACTGAGTGTCAACTTCCGCACCAACTCCCCGGAATGACCAATTTTTGCAATCTACACAAGGACATCGGTTACTCACGAGGCTGAAAGTACACTATGCATGAATGAAAAACAAAACAGTCTGTACTATACCAGTCAGCATGACGTTCCGCGTGCTCAGTGCCACAGCGCAGATGGTTTTCTAGGTCTAAATGTAATTTCGAACTGGCCATTTGGCAAGCTCCCTCGGCAAGTAGCAGTGATGTGCATCTCAAGTGCTTTGGTAGGAAGTAGACATACTAGCTTTTTCTCAGAATGCAGTAACATGAAAACCTCCATCACGTACAGATCTTCCGGCGACTGATGACTTCGTCTGTAAGACTAGCCCGGTAGAAAAGATCCCGGTGGACAAGGTTTGCGACTTTGTCAAAGACTGTTCCAACGGTGCCGACGAGCTGGATTGCGGAAACTGCGTTTTCGAGAATTCCACGTGCGGCTGGGATCTCGGAAGCGCAGAAAGCAGAGATCTGGCATCGTGGCGACGAAGGAGAGCGGGAGTTATTCCTGGAGCTCCCAAACTGACTTATGACGGCGACACCAATGGTACGTACCACGATTCATTGTCCCCGTGCTATAGCTATTTTGTGTGTGTTTTTGAGTTTTGAGGATACGTTTGAGTTTTCAAAACAAAACAAGTGACGTTTGCGGTCATTTTTTTTTACACACAAGGTGTCTAAGGGCTGAGGTCTCCGAGAAAAATAGAACGTTACGTCAAGGAGAACCGTCACGCCACAAAAAACCGCCCGGAGAACCGTTACGAAAAAACCGGTAGAAACAACAAATTTAAAGGATATACGTCCCGCGAAATCTGGCTGCACGTTCTTGTCCGTCACCTAAATTTGCGTTCTGTTAAATTTAGGTGACGTTGTTTACGCGATATCATCAGAGTGCTACTTGTTACGTGCCACCGTGACTGACATTATGACGTCACGTGAGGCAATGGCGTCACGGTATTGCATGACACCGCGCCCGCACCACACCAACCCCCAAAAAGATCAAAACACAAACTGCAGATTTTCTGTCCGGCCACTTTACTCGAAGGTTCAGCATACACTATTGAACCAATTGGCTTTCCTAGGATCCTCAGGTCAATTTGAGGTTTGTTTCTGGCCGTTTATTTTCTTCGTGGAATTTAGCGAGGAAAATTGCGCCACATGAGTTGATGTCACGGGACGGACCTATTGATTTTTCTCGCTAAATTTATCAAAAAAATTTACGTCGGTTAACACGATATCACTTGAACTATGCCAAAATTCAGTTTTCCCGCTAGATGTAGCGGAAAAACGGACGTCAATTGACCTCGACAACAAGCCAATTTCCCCGCTATACTTAGCGGAGAAGTAAACGCCACGTGACTTCGTGTCACGTGACCTCAAGAGCTATTGAGTTCTCCACTTAGACGGAAATTATAAAAATAACGCATTACATTTAAAGCTAAGCAAACTGGTGGCTGCGATATCAATTTTAACGTGATTGAAGGGGATAAGTAACCATTTCGGCTCAGGTGATGTAGGCGTTGACTTCTACCCCCTCGACCTTCTGACCCTCAAGGAGTTGTTACGCTGCCAGAACACAACTCTGCGCGATAAAAAAGTCGATGTTGCAAACATTGCTCAGCGAGAGAGAAATACCGCCATGAAAATTAGCTTTCGTTAGAATTTCCTGGCTAGCATCGTAGCTTTGATGTAGCGAGAAGGTACACGTAGGCTTTCGATGCTAATTTGATCCTTAGTCTCTTAACTCTAGATGTTTGAAAAAAGAGGAATTATCGCTATACAATTTACAATACCAAGCAATATTATATTGAGAATTGAAAAGCGACATTGCCACTTTTAGAAACGCTTAATTCAGCCTGACTTTGACTTCAAACTTTTTTGTGTCACCCTATTTACGCTGTAACACTAGTCAGTGTTCCAATTTTTAAATTTATTTTAAGACTAGAACACGAATTCAAAACCGACTAGGGCACAATAAATAATTTGGTCGGCGGCGACGGCGATGACTAAAATATTCCGTGGAGAAGGGGAACAGGAGGGACAAATGACGAACACAAACCTCCAAACACAGCTAGGTGACTGGTGCATGACCGAAAAAATCCGCCTGGTGCTGTTATCGTACCAGGGACCTCTCAATTTTCAGTGGAGTGCTGTACCAACTAAACTAACGAGGAGTTCGATGTCAATAGAACACACGGTTTTTATCAGCTGCTACCAGTATAGCACCAACAAGGATGAACGGATTGCATCTTAAGGTTATGATTATAATCCAAATAAATGCAAAGGTACAAGCGAGTTGGACAAGTTGGCAGGGGGCGCCACTGGAAATAGAAAGGTCCCTGGTTCGATACCAAAAACCGGGCGGATTTTTTTGTTCGCGCACATGTCACCTCACTGTGTTATTTGAGTTTGTCCTTTCTCCCCCTTGTTCCCCTTCTCCAAGGAATTGTTTCGTCATTCTCGTCGAGCTCGCTCGCACATATGCATCTAATTACACTATAATCATGTCACTATAATCATATTTTACACACATATTAACATCTGTAATGTTCATGTACTAGGTCGACAACATGCACACCAGTCATTGTTAGTTTAGATGCATACAGGTGCGAGAAAAACAAAACTTATTAAATTGATTTACTGGAGACAATGATTGCTCTTAAAATAGGTTCAGTGCTTAAAACTAAATCAGGAGAATACATGACGAAGCCAAAAATACTGAAATAAGAAGGCTTACCAGATCCCCAATTGTCGGCTTGTATTTTGTAATAGATGTTTTTATACTATGCAAGGTTAGGCGTCTTTTTGTGTTTTGGTTCAATACCGAGCGGTGGTGAAAATCTGGTTTTGCGACACATATTTTTTTTTTGTTACTGAAGTAACTCGTTTAATAGATTCCGGGAACTTCTTAATATTTAAAGTATTTAAATATTCGCATTTTGTGCAATTAAGGCGCGCATTTCTGAAAGAATAGGAAGAGTACTACACTTTGGCGTTACACGCACTACGAGCGTATGGTCTACTGAACTGCCTTTTGGCGATTTGAAGCTACTATACGCACTTCTAAAACAAACTTAGAAATAAAAAAACTGCGGCATCGCTAAGTTCATTAGAGCGGCGAAGCAAATTGCCTGCCAGCTGCCCACAGGTGAAAGTTTTACAAATGTGCGATGTCGCGTGCCACTCCGGCGCTCTGATTCGCTCGCCGTGGCTGCTGCTTTAGTAATGTTCCCGGTTAAGTAGCAGCGGAGTATGGTGGCCTTATTTCTTTTCCGCAAGAAATGTCTTGCTCTTGAAAACCTCGTAATCCGTATAATTCCTAATGACATATTAAATATGCATAGCTCACGGTAAACTTTGGTACCCGATTCGAAATCACAAACACTCCTCGTATGATAAAAAACAAACAAAAAACATCACTCTTTGCAAAAAAAATTGTTCCACCTGTCCTTGACTATGCCTGACAGGTGTGGGACCATCATACGGCTGTAAATGCTGGAAAAGACGTCCAATTTAGTTCGTTACAGTATTCACAAATTAAAGAGTGTGCGAAGATAGGCATGGCGATTCAAAAACAACAAACTCAAAAGATACGATTGTGTTATGCCACTATACGAAAAAGCTGAATGAGATCCCTTTAACAAGGCGCCGTGAAGCCAGACTAAGGTTGTTTTGCACATTACTTAACGGTGCTTTTAACATTGATTCTTCAACATAGCTAACACCACGCACTGGTATGAGAGACTCGAAGCTTTCACAATAGGGCGCTGGTTCTGTATCCCTCTCGCACTGACTGATTTTAAATGATGTCTTTACACTAAAAATAAAATAATTGAAAAGCAATTCTGAACTACAGGATAATTTTTATTAGTCGAATTATGTTTGAGGACATTGTAAGGTTGTCTGCGAAACACTTATAGTTTTATGGTATTATTATTGTAGAATATTGAAGTAACCATTGTGAACTTGGGTAAATTTTATTCTCCTTTATTTCAACTTCTTAGGCAACAAAAAGTACTAACACCTACAGCCACAACCTTCAGAATGAGGTTAGCAGTAGTTATAAATGCAGAAATAAAATAGACAGTGTAGCATAATGTTTTTGAATATACATATAGCCTAGAAATAGATTCCGAGTTAATATATGAGTACAAATTTGTATACCTTCATAATTTTTGATGTAATTATGTAAGCTCTGTTGTGTTTAGTGCACAAGTCAACTAAGATTTACTTTTATTTTAAATCTATAAATGTATGTATGATTGTTGCGTATATAAATAGCTCTTAATGCATGACGCCGTCAGGGAAATCGTTATTAGTTTTCGCACAGCGAGGAATATTTAACTATCAAGATTTTAATATAGTGAGTTTAGAATAGTTTCAAAAACGAAACATTTTGAGCCATGTCATTTATAATGAGTCTGCCTTGTTTTCAATCAGTCTATGTTCTAATCGTACGCCATTTTTTCAGGTTTCTACATGATCGTTGCATTAGAAAAAAAACCAACGCAAGTTGCAGTAAGAGCTGTTGCAACATCTCCCGTCATCCGAAACACAAACTTCCTTTGTTCGCTCACCTTCTGGTACAACTACGCAAGTGAGTGTGATACGTTTTTAAATAACCCATTTATGTTAAGTGAAAAAATATAAAAGATCGTTACACAGGGGCTGTCTGGTACAATATCGGAGGGATGTCCTTTATTCACTGATACGAGGGCCACATGCTAACACATTTTAACTCACCTGAATAACTTTCTTAATATCGACACGCTTAAGGATCCTAGCCGTACTCGGAAGAAATGACTAGGGCCTATTTAACCCATAGAGGTAAAACGAAGAAAGGGCAATATACCGGCTGACACAAGCCAAATGAGAAAATCCAGAGTGAAGCCGAAAGTAGTCGTCGCGGTCAGCAAAGCACTTGTCTCACATTCTCGAGGTGGTAAGTTCTAATCCTCCCTGGGGGCTGAAGTATTTTTTTTTTTTGGTTGTCAGTTGGCGTAATGCTTTTAGGTGTCGTTACAGCCGGTTCTTACAGCCGGCCTTTGCAGAAAGACGTTACTGAACGCCGTATAAGTTAAAGGAGGACACCTAAGACTGCTTAAACGTGGAAACGCGAAAGCGTTATGGAACCGCAGGTGAAATGATTTCAAGTAATATTTCTACTAGTATTAAAATTTCGGACGACGTATAGGACGAAGTCGAGGACGACGTCAAAAAGATTGACGCCAAGTATGGCGTCTAGGATGACGCCAGGTACGACCTCTCGGACAACGTTTAGGACGACAACGAGGACGACGTCAAGAATGGTGTCTAGGACGACGTCGAGGATGACGTCCTAGAGGACGACGTCATGGATGACCTCTAGGACGAAATCTCGGACGGCCTTAAGGACGACGACAGGGACGACGTTAAGAACGACGCCTAGACGACGAGGTCGAAACCGGCGACTAGAGGACGACCTTCAGGACCATTTCAAGGACGACGCCTAGAAAAAGATGTCTAGGCTGACCTCTATGACGACGTCAAGGACGACACCAAGGGCGCCGTCGTCTTTGAGCGTGTGATTGTGTGGCCTAACGTCATGCCAGCGCAAACCCGCGTCCCACCCTCCCGCTGCGCCGCCAGGAGTTCGGCTGGTTCCTTAGCAAGGATGACGCCGTTGCTATGTGGCCAAATGACGAGTCGCAGCCAATAGGAATTTAGCCGCCATTTCGCTGCTAGAGACACTGGCTTCGTTCCACGGCACTGTTAATGCTCTCGCATTAAAACCGCATGTTAGAACACACTATGTGACAATAGTCAGCAAGAAAAAAAAATTGGCGGCAAGTTTCATAATTTTGCCAAGTTTAAGGGCGGTAGTTTTATAGAGCGAATGCTGCTCTTAGTTTGGGGGTGCCTGGGGTAGGATGAGCCTTAGTCATTCAGTGCTTGGGGTGGGTGGTGCTTTTCGTTCATGTGGTGCCTAGGGCAGGCCTTTGCATGGAAACAGACCACGTCACACCATTGTCGCTTTGTGAAGAGATGCGCGTGCATCCCTTCAGCCCCACCTCCCTTTCCTTCCTCCAATGCAAAGCCTTTGCGCTGAATTTTCTGGGTTACCAAGAGAAGAGAAGCGCAATTTCCTGCCCATTTTACTCCTCGTTTCGAGCGCCCTTTCTACACCGTCTGTTTCTGCTCCTCTTTTCCTTGTACTTTCCCCTAATCTCTGCTCCGCGCACTTTCTCATGTCACCTCTTTCTCCTCCTCTCGGTTCTGCGTGTTGGCTCCGTATCTCAGTCAGCAGCGTCTCGGCTTCGCCGTTTTCAGATCTTTTGATTGTTGTGAACCATCCGACCTACACATTTCGCGCTTACTCGGCTCCTAAAGCTGGTAGTCCCTATAAAGGTACCGCTTTCAAAAAAATATGACGGAATATAGTTATCACACAATTTAAGAGAAACATCTTTTCTGGCAACACAACAGTTTAGCTAGTCCAAATCAAGACACTATAAAAAACCTAAACAGAGACGACTTTGGTGGGCAACCAGTCTTCTGACAAGGATAGAGCTTCGTGTTGTGCAGTGCTTTTATTTTCACTATATGAAAACCCCATCATTTGCAGGCAAAGACCTATTATTTAAAAGTACTTACTCCGCCCATGTACCGAAATGCGGCCACATATTATACTTCCATTTGATCAGAAATTTGTCTCCTGAAATTTAGTTAAAGCATGCCATGAAGGACCCCTACAACTTCCTAGAAAATTAAAACTCGATAGATAAACAGTAAAAAGTCAGTATGTTTCAAGAGGTTGAAAGTTTACCAGCCCGCCTCCATGTTCTTATTTATTTCCGCCAATTGCTTGTTCTATGTTAAAATGTGTTTCGAAATGATGATCGAATATTGAAGAGACAATGGTTTTCTGTTTGCACGAGGTCATGAGAATTATATTTTCAAGGTATGAAATATATTTATAATCCCCCCACCCTCAAAAAAAAAAAGCGCCTTGACGTCCATCTTTGCATTTCACGTTAAATCTTGTGGGATAATTAGACCACGCGATCTAAACAGCAATTTAGCTTCCCCGCTAAATTAAGTGAAAACAGTAGTGTCCCTTGACCTACAGTCCTGAGAATTAAACAACTCCTCTCCGCGCTCAGTTTAGCAAGGAAATTGACATCGCAGAACCTATGCGGGGAAGTTGCCAAAAATATAATGTTTCTCTTTCCTCCCTGATAGGGCTGTTTAAAGTATAGTAAATAAATCCGAATAGACCATTTTTGAATACTGCATTGCATGCAATAAGTACGAGGAAGTGTTAAAAAGTATTTTCACCATATTTTTTATCCGGATAACATTAGAAACAGGATTAAAGTAATTTGGAGTTTTTCTTTTAACACGGCCCTCCCACTTCCAACACATGTGAACCAACGCTTCACGAACGCGAGAATGCCGCGGAATAAGACATCGTGCTGCTCACTCCGAAGCCCCCAGAGATGCACCGCCGCTTTCAACTCATCCATGCACGGAGCTTCATTCCACCGAGAATTACATTGGGTGATCTGAAAGAATTAAAATCGCTCAATGCCGGGTCCTTTAAGTATAGCAGATGCACAATGCACTGAAAACCTAGACACTTGTTTTTTTTTCACTGTCGCAGGTGCCAGGGGGGGGGGGGGGGGGCATTGTCGTTCTGCAGCAACACACTAATAGTCAGCAAACCATGGTGCTTCGACCTGATCAAGTATTTGGAATATTATGGAGCAGTTCTGAATACCGCGTGCTGTACGCTGAATTCCTTGGGAATGTCAACTTTGGCTAGTAGCTTTCCATTGTCCAAGATTACCATGAGCATATCCTTGTGCTGCATAGGCACTGCACGGAACTTATTTAATCTTTGCGACGAAGTGTGCCTTCATTCTCTGCTTGACCGCTTTGTCTCCGGCTGGGCATAGTGGATTTGACATTCATACCCAGCGTGAATGAGCTAAATAAAATTATCTCTCCCGGATTTATAACGCCGGAACCTTGTCTCACACGCATCCACAAGGCGCTCTTACTGTCTGGTGTAGGTTGTCTTGGTACCCACCTGGCGGACACTTTATTGTACTACGGAATATCATAAAATCGGTGCCGCACAGCGCCGTTACCACTGTTCAGTTCTTCAACCGTTGCATTAATATGGACATGGCAGTTTTCCTACACAAGCTGTTCAACTCTTATATTGAATGCGTCATTGTCAAAGTGTAAGCCCGGCTGGAGCAAGGCACCTCAGTCAGACTTGACTCTGTGTTTTTAAATGTTTTGTACCGGTGACGCACCTGTTGAAGTGACATAGAGGCGCCTTCATACTGCTTTAATATTCTGCGATGAATATCCGCGGGCATTTTTCTCTCTTTACCCAAAAACCGGATTTCTGGGCGCTTCTTTTCCCTGGTGCATGCTTTGAAGGTGGCGGTTATTTTTAAAGTGCTGTGCTTCCGTGACATTTTTCGACAAAATGCTCGACCGGCCTGCGCAGCTTCCATAAATAAAAGTCCAAACAATATTTGAAGCTCGGCAATCTATCGTGGTATTTAAATTTTTATAACTACTTTGCGGCTACATTTTGACTGCCTTGCCCTTTGGATATGCGGGTCGCTGACAATATTTTATTTTAATGCCTGAATTCAAGACGACTCATTTGAAATGGACCTGGACCTTGAAGTGAACGGACACGATATGACCATTTGGAGCTTGTACTCCGTCACACCCAAGGCACCAGAGAGAACCTGGAACATTGCAGAGGCTGTACTCGGACGTTACACTGGAGCAGTTAAGGTAAGTCGGTCGCATTCCCAATTGGGACTCAACTTTAATGATGGTTGCTGTCGCAGGATTTTTTGCAAAATATGTTCAGTCGTAGATATGTTTCACACCTCCCCTGCCTACAACTTCCTGAACGAAATTAAGAATAAGAAATCTTTATGTTGCACTAAGATCATATGGGTTTATGTTGCAACTTGATCGGCTCACTACGGATAATAGTGTTTTTAACCAAAACGAAACATGCACGTGCACTACGGCGTAGCGTAGATATTATGCATTTTGTAATTTTAACGTGCATTGCAAGATCCAACATTACAGAATGCATTAGCCTGTACGTCACACTACGTTTTTGTTTGTTGTTTTGTCGTTTTGAAAAAAAAAAATGCACTGTTGTCCGGAGAGAGTCGATCAAGATGCGACGTAAATATTTCGTATTCCAAATTTTCGGGGTGGCTCTATATAAAAAAAAGTCGGGCTTTTTTTTTTTGTTGTTTTCTTCTTTTTATTGTTTTCTGATGCAGTGAAACAAAAAAAAAAGAAGAGCTGTATGTGAGCGCTTTTTTTGTGTCCTTCCTCCAGTTGTTTCTGTGTCTTTCGGTCTGTTCCAATTTTTTTTCAGCGCGTAGATAGCGCCAGTGAAATCACCGTAAGAAAATGAAAAAAGGATAATGAATAAAAATGCCAATAAATGGAACTAGCAAGCGAGCTGGACAAGAATGACGAAAATAATCCTAGGAGAAGGGGAACAAGCGGGACAAAGGACAAAAACAAATCTCCAAACACAGCTATGTGACTGGTCCGCGACCAAAAAAATCCGCCTGGTCCGGACATCGACCCCGGAGCTTCTCCATTTCCAGTGAAGCGCTCTTACAACTGAACTAACCAGGGGTTAAACACCAGTAGAAAGAACTGGTTTTTCCAGCTGCCACCAGTCTAACATGAACAAGGGTAAAAGGCTTGCAATTTAAGGTTATGGTTAAAATTAATGAAATGCAAAGGTGCATCCGAGCCGGACAAAAATGACGAAAATAATCCCTGGAGAAGAGAAACAAGAGGGATAAAGGACAAGCACAAATCTCCATGATTTCTGTTTGTCCTTTGTAGCTCTTGTTTCCCTTCTCCAGGGATTATTTTCGTCGAGGATAATGAATGCGTTTTAAAGCATATCAAAGCTTACCCTTGTAATATTTTTATGTTTTTATTTTTACGCATTGAACGGTGCTGTTCATTTTGTGCTGAAGAGTGGTGTTCCCCTTGGAGACTAATAAAATTATCGCCGCGTCACTTTAAAGGCTAATTCATGCACTTGTTACTGCTTAGACGGCCTGCACAGAAGCACAGCCGGTCCTGAGCAGTCACAAGACCCTCAAACGCGGTTTTCAAGCCTCTCAGGTGGTAACCAGTGCAAGTGTTAACCAGCCTACATACCGATGTATGTGCATTAAAACAGCAGAAGAACCACGTGTCATGCACCTATTTAAAGATATGAATAGATATTGAGAGGGGAGTTTCCCACTGATGCAGGCCCGTAACTACCAATGCGACGAGGCTTTTGTTTGCACCTCGCGCTTCTTGGGGTGTCTCTTAGCACCGGATGTGTTTTATGAGTCGTGTTCTACACAAAAACTTCCATGAACGGGTGTCATAAAGCAGCGACACGTCGGGAGCGTTGAAAGACGCTAAGGTTACACATGAAGTTATGTAAAGGTCGAAACTGGATCGGTGTGGTAGCGGTCGGTTACGGAGCCCCTTAGCTGTGTAGCGCAGCTACTCTGGAAGCAAGGCGCTCAAGGAAAACACGCCCGGACGACAATGGTTTCATGACACACCTTTATGACCGCTTGCTTCATTGACGTCGCTCGTCACGTAAGAACCATATAAGATTGCGTATTTAAGACGCACTTATTCGTTTGGCCTCTCCCTGGCTAACGTCTGTGGCTAACATAAAAAATAGCCCAAACTATACATGGAGTGTGGTCTGCGTGTGACGAGTTCCGTCCTCCCTGGTGTTTACCATCATGAATAATATTGTGCAAATTTTGTTTTCTTAAGCTTCGCTTCAGGGAGTTTCAGTATCCTGCAAACGACGGGTACTTCGCCATAGACGGCCTCCAGTATGACAACTGTGACCTGCCGCGTAAGTATACGCAGCAGAGGTTTCTGTACCGTGATAACTTTTCCGCTTTTATTATCGCACTCGGACAATCGTCTCAGATGGTACTTAAAACCGGCGAATGAGCTCGTCTAAACTGTGTGCAGGGTGCCTCCTCAAAAGAAATTTTAATATGTTTCTTTCACTGAAAAAATAAACTACAGCACCAAACGCCCAAATGTAGCGCCAGCGGTCTGGACCAGAGATCAATGTTTCAGAGCTTGCAGTTGTTTAATTCAGAAGTTCCATCCTATTTTTGCAAATTTTTATAAATAAAACTGGCGGACAGTAAATTAAGAGGAATGGCGTCAGCTGACTAGAACGTGCGCCATTTTTATACTAAAATGAGATTTGTTGAAGATAACGGCATGCTATTAAATTTCCACATCTGCTCTAGCCCGATAGTGTCACATTTGGGGGCATATTTGGCGTTAGGCGATGCACATTTATTTTAGTGTTAAAAAAATTATTAAAATATTTTTTTGGAGGCGAGATGTACATTTTTTGTTGAAATAATTATTTTATTTTCAGTCCCCGATCCTTCGCCATGCGAAGATAATTTCAAGTGTGAAAATGGTGTCTGCATTTCTAAGTATGACGTATGCAATTATGTCGACCACTGTGGAGATGGCAGCGACGAACTTAACTGCGGTAAGTGCCAAGTTGGGGATTGTGCTTGCTGCCAAATTGTGCACAGCAAAGCCCTAATAGCCTTACACACCGCCGGCAAGGTGTCTCCAATTCTGTTTCTTCCACTTTTTTTTTAACTTTTTGCGGAACAGTAATGCCGAAGTTCTCTCCGTTCATCCGTTCGTCCGTGCGATTTCCGCTAATTTTAGCAGGAAAGTGACGTCACGTGACATCATGGGACGTACACTGTTTGGGAAAATTCACGGCACGCGGAAAACACGTGAAGAAGAAGACGGCACAAGAGGGCCCTTACTTAATCGCTGCAAACTCAGCAACAACAAATTCAGGAACAGACTCAGCGGCAGGCGTAGCAGATGGAATGGCAGACGCAACTGCAGTTGCGGCAATCAGAGGAACAATCGGTAGCCCAAGTAACACAGCAATTATATCAGCAGAAGCTGCCCCTGACACTGTCTCAGCAAGTGCAAAAGCAACCGCAGACACAGCGATTACAGATGCTGCAGAAATTCTTGGGACTCTGCTCAACGTTCCTTACGGCTGCCCCATGATCTAACATATAGGGCAGAAAAATGACTTATGAAATGCCCTTAAAGCTCCTTCAATGAAACTGCAGGAGTCTCGTTCAGCGCAAGGCGCAACTCAGACAGCGCCTGGGGAATAATTATGTGGAAGTTATGCTCCTCCCAGAAACAAGATCCAACCGAATTTTGATTTCAGGATACAGGGGACTTTATTATCCTTCGATAGTTCGCAGGAAGAGGCAAAGCGGGGCGGAAGGAACCGTCCCTGTCTATGAGGAGAGTATAAAAGCAGAAGCGGCGGTGCACGTCCACGAGCGAATACCGCACATCCAGTTCGACACGGGTGAGTGGTGCACGGCGGACCAGGAGGTGGTAGCAGCGAGGCTTGCCCTACCTGATGTAAAGAAAAGAATCCTTGTTGTCTCAGAATACCTGCGGGGTAAGGTCAAGTGGAACTTCAAGTACATTTTACAACTCAAGGCAAGATACCCGAACGACTATATAGTTATGTGAGGAGATCTCAACGTCCAGCTCGAAGGCTGGTACGACGGCGATGTGGTGACAGTACACGACCCGCAAGGAAAAAAAACTCGAATTATTTTTGGAACAATCGGAGATAGATCAGGCCAACGACTTCAAAGGCACAGTGCGATTGACGCCCAACCTCTGAAGCGGGGACTCCACCATTGAGGCTACCCTCGATCCGACGAGCATGGCAAGAAAGCTATTGACGACAGAGCAAGACACATAGGACAGTGACCACTTACCGGTTACCACAGAACTCCGAATCGGGGACAAGAAAAGTAAGTCGCAGAAGAGACCAACGAAAGTGGTCTCTTCTGCGACTTACTCTGTGACTCTGTGAGCAATTGTCATAGACATCCAAGGTACCCCAGACGCGACACAGATCGCCCAGCTGCTATGCACCGCTACGTGAAGAGCAACGGCAGAAGATAAGTCGTGGACGAGTTCCCGGACCCCGACATGCACCTCCTCAGCTTGTGGGAGAAGTGACTGCAAGCGATACTTAAGTGCAGAAGCAAAATAAAGCGACACCTCGAAGAAGTCAAGAAGCTAACAAGAGAAGCGAGGGAGACCGCGAGAGAACTGGATGGGACGAGTACCGTTGGCAAGAGCTCCGCGAATCCTTAGACCATACCACCCCGATTAAAAACCTTTAGAGAGTTTTCAGCGTAACACCCGTAACAACTAAACAAACATTATTGACGCTTCCACCGCACTTGACGACTGTGATGTTATTTGGGCTAGTTAGGCATATTTTTGCACTTTTCAGGCTTCAATCTTTGTCGTGTTCCATAACACAGTTATCTTTAGGAGAAGGCACAAAAACATGAATTGAAGAAACCTTTCGTCCAGGCAATAGTTCTTACGTCCAAAAAAAAAAGAATCTCAAGATAGAAGCATAGAAACCAACAGTTCCCAACGTTTTGAGGTCGATTTGACTCCTTCTTTAGGAATTGACTAAATGAAATGGGACAGCGGGAGCTTCGATTTCTTCTTCCTCCTCTACCGAGTTGATGTTTTCTTAACGTGAAGCAGGCCCTGGACGTAAGTAGAGGGTAAGGTCCGAAAGAACCTGTTAATGTTCCCTTTTTTTTGTTAATATGCCACGGCCCCAAGAACAGACGTTTTCGGATTTTTTTTTGTCCGTGCCTATCACGTCCGCGTTCCCGAAGGATGATATGGGACTCGTGAATCGGATTCACGACTGCTAAACTGCTCTAAGGAGAAAAGAACTGGACCTGCACTTCGCGCGCAGGCAGCTCCAACAACGCGTCCCCGGTGTGTCCCCGTCGCTGCAGTCGTTCGCTTCCAGCGTCGCCTACGCTGTTAAAGAAAAACGACAGGAATCTCAAGAAGAGAAACTTTCTAAGCTAAGAAAAAAAAAACACACAGAAAGACGAGGAGCTGACACCGCCAGTTTTTTTCACGAACCTGTCTTCAATACAGCTCCCCCCCTGCGAGGTCTTGGCAAAAGGCCACGGCTTCGACATGACCAAGACCCGGCCCTCTTTGCCAAAAATGGTTGCCGCGGTGGAGGACGGCATTGCGCGCCTAGACCCTAGCGTCCGGGAAGGTGTACGAGTTAAAGCGATAGGCACCCTTTCAAAACCTGCACGAAGGCAACACCACAATTCATCACGTGATGAAACGGCTGCGCTTCGGAAGCTCCGCGAGGATACTGAGATTGTGCTCCTGCCGTCATATAAAAGAAAATTGAGCGTCGTTCTGGACCGCGAGAGGTACCAGTAGAAGGTACGGGATCTTCTCGACAGTACAGCTTATGAAAGGCTTAAGAAAGACCCAAAATCCCAAGTTCAGCGGAACATGAACAAGGTGTCTGACATTTTCAAGGAATACACAGAATGGAAAGCCCTTTACTTCCATCTAATCAGCAGGAATGGTTCTCCGCTAAGCTTCTACGGACTACCCAAGACCCACCAACCTAGCGTCCCCTTGCGACCTATCGTAGACTTTGCGACCTCACCCCTCCGGGCGCTATCGAATTAAACTACACCGGACTACAGCTCCCTTCGTTGGAAACACGCCAACCCATGCGCTGAACACCGGCCACTTCATGGAGCGTGCCTCGCAAGTGAGACTCCGCGATGATGACAAGTTGGTGCCTTTTGACGTTGTATGACTCTTTACCAGCGTGCCAGGTCCCTTAGCAGTTGCTACAGCCAGAGAGGACCTCGAGAAGGACGAAACATTGGGCTCCAGAACCAGCCTTAGTGTGAATGAACAATGCCGCCTTCTCAAGTTTTGCCTTGGCACTGCATACTTCAATTTCAATGTGAAGACTTCAAATAATTCAGCGGGACGGCAATGCGCGCCTCCATTTCTTTCACAACGGCACACCTCACAATGGAAGTGGTTGTACAGAGGGCGCTAAGCACTTACGCCAACAGGCCAGAACAATTTGTGCGCTATGTAGATGATTGTTCTTGCATCGGGGAGAAATCAGAGGTAACCCATTTCTTGGCACACCTGAACTCTATAAAACCGGCTATCCATTTTACTGTAGCATACGAGAGAGATGGAGTTATGCCGTTCCTTGGTGCTCTGGTAAAAAGGCAAGGAGACAAGCTGAGATTCATGGCCTGCAAGAAAGCAACCCACACCGAACGCTACCTTGACATTAACTCGAACCACCACTTGAGTCACAAGGCGTCAGTGGTCTCTACTCTCCTGTCTTGAGCATCAACCATCTGCTCGTCGGAAAAAAATAGAAGAAAGGAGAAAGAGACCATCCTTGCTTACTTGGTGACCTCCAAAGAAACGGCTACACAAGGAGTTTTGTTCAACGCGTCGCTCGTCGACATTGTTGCTCGCGTAATAATTATGGATCGCTGGGTGACACACAACCCCGCCCCATCTCGCGCATCAGCGTAAACTATGTAAAAGGGACGAGCGCGACACTGGCGCGCGTGTTCCGAAAAGAAGGGATACAAATGTTGCAACAAGCCAGTGTCAACATTAGGACGGCTGATACCAAGGTCAAAGGATCGCGTACCAAAATAGCAAGCAGAAGGCGTGGTCTAAAGGATTCGTGTGCAAAGTGCCCCGCCTCATACATTGGTGAAACTAAATTTTTTACCGAACGCATGCGCCAGCACCAGAGGATGCGCGCAGTTTCAATAGCGAGCGTACCGCCGTCGCGGAGCATTGTGAGGTACTTGATCATCAGATTGACTTCGGGAACGGGCACTTCCAGCGACAAAGAGACAAATATCCGAAAACCTCTTTTCTTGGAGTCGTGGCATATTCAGAACACACCGGTGAACATTAACAGGCCCCTCGAGGCTTTACCATTCATTTGCGTCCAGGGCCCGCGTCTCGCTAACAAAAGATCAACTTGTTAGAAGCGGAAGAAGAGTTCGAAGCTCTCGCCGTCGCATTCTATTTAGTCATGCTCTGAAGAAGGAGTAAAGTCGACCCCGAAACACCGGGAACTATCTGTTTCCGAGCTTTTGGCTTGAGATTTTTTTTTTCGATTTTTTTTTCCCGAAACCAAACTAATTTCTGTCGAAGATGTTGACTTTTAGTCATATAAGTTGTCATATAGCTGAGGAAACACTCAATGTTTTGCTCTGGAATGTTTGTGTGCGTCATTTTTATTTCCACATAAGTTTTGTGACTTGTTTTGAAAGTGAAACTGAACAGCAATGCTGATACTAGAAAACAATATATGTGTTCACGCAAGCATATTTTACTAGAGGAACTCCCACAGCTTGAACCATTCGCACGAGAAGCTCGAGTAAGAAAATTGGGTACATTTTACCTTAAAAAAATAGGGAGTTTTAGTAGACCGTGTTTCCCCCTCCGCTAACCCTCCGCTACGAAGAAACCGCCACTGCGCCTGCGCGCCGATGGCCTTGGCTGTAGAGTTCCGGGTGGCGGAGGGGCTTAGCGTAGGGGAAAACACGGTGTACTAAAACTCGCCATTCTCTCAGAAATTCATAGCGCGTATTTAACAAAACTTCATCAAGCAAATAATATCAAAGACAACCCCACAGGCCCAACGATAGATGCTACCAAACAATTGTGCAACCCCGTCTTGCTTAGTAGCGACTTCCATCCGCTTCCTCCTTGGGTTCGGGTCTTCTCTCGTGGTATACACCGTTGACACGCACATCGGACACCCCGGGAACACTGACTGAACTGCTCCAGGTTTGAGGGGCAGGCAAGTTAGGGGCGGAGCCAACACGCGTCAGTTTGTGTCGTCAAGGTGGGAATTTTCCCGAATCATTTCAGTGTCTTTGAAATGAAGCTCGCGCACCTAGAATATAAATGCACCTTCGAGTAAGTAACAGAAAACGTGAGCGACGATGGTAGGAGAGTTGACAAGTGAGTGAAAGTAGTCTGTTTCAATCATTTACCCAACTCAGAAGCCTTTGAAAAGTGCTTAAATGCCATAACCGTGCGCCAAAGGAGGCGTAGTCGTACACTCCAATCGGATGACTATTACGTGCGTTTGTTTCGGAAAGGACCAAGGAGGACAAGCTTATCGAATATCGAAATGTTAATTTTCGCGTAACCACTCAAACTTTTACTTCCAGTCTTGTGTGCCTCCATGTCACCTTTTCCCCTGTCTACTACAATAACAATAATTAAAAAAAAACGGTCAAGTTCTGTTCCTGGTGGGGCTAGCGTTGACGAGGTTGTTCCGTCGGATCATTCGCACCCAAGCATCACAAAAACTATTTTAGTTTATAATACAGGAACGCGGTCACCTTCTAGTCTCGAATACAATTTTCTAGCCTTCGAGGATCGAAACATTTAAGTGGAAACGGTATGCTGTTGAAGATATTTAAGGGAAACAAGGGCACACGATTGACACAATGGCGTGAATGATGCGGTCAAGAAAAATACGACTGGCGAAAATGCTAAAACAAGAAGAAAAACACGCGCACTGCTATTTATTGGCTGTCAAACGCCGCCACATTCGCACCGGACATGAACGTAACAAGCTACTAGTAACTACTTTCTTCAACCTAGTTACTCCTTTCGGTAAGGAGTAACGAATTTAGTTGCTGTGCTTATAAAATGAACGCCTAACGTATTTGGTTATTTTAATGCCAAGTAACGTGTAACGGTATTTTGCTAATTTTAGGGAGTATCGTGTGCAACCCCGTTTAAGCAGCCTCGTTTTAATTAAAACGTGAGTATGCATCTATAGCGACAAAGGCAGGCGGGCAATCCGAGAGACAACTTAACAGTAAGACAGTATAGCAAAGTTTATCGCTGAACATCTCAGTCGAAATTTACGGCTGGTAATGTCCTTCACTCAGCCAACACACCAAGGCTCGTTGGTAAAATCTTCTATAATAGGGGTACAAACAGAATGTAAACCCTGAGGTTGCCAAGACGAGAAGGCACACAGCCCACTGTGAACTTCGAACTTTAAGCAGAGAAAACAAAAGAGAGAGAGCGGGGAATCGCAGATTCGTCAGCTCTCCCAAAACACAACACTGCCGTTTTTTCGAGCGCGTCAGTAGAACGACTCTTCAGCGTTGCCGGAGATCTCTTTTCAAAGAAGCGGGGAAACAGAACCCCCAAAAACTTTGATAGGCACCTACTGCTTAAGTGCAACAACCACTGAAAAGTAGACAATCAACCATGGTGCGAAAGGAGTGGTGTATTTGGTTGTTAAAATACCAAGAACAGCAACTCGTTACTTTTGAAGTGAAATAATTCGTTCCTTTCGAGAAGCGGTAACGAGCAACATATTTAGTTACTTTTCGAGCAAGTGACGAGTAATAATATTTAGTTACTCTTTGGGGGATAACGCCTGATTGGCACTCTCTCTCCGGATGGTGCCCGGGTGACGACAAGTCGCGGCATTGCGTTAGCGCACGACTCAATGGGGGCAAAAGGTGGTGCGTTGCGTTGAAACCGACTTCTCGGGCAATTTTAGCCTTCAGGCCTCAGCTCTGAAGTAGTTTGATGTCATCTCTCCGAGAACCCCGCGCCTGCGTAACGTCTTCTGAAGAAAGGATAGTGTAGTTCCTAAAAATTGCACTTGATGCATTCTTATAGGACTCTTAAGTTGAATGTCGCTGCAAATTTCGATTTTAGCCTACTAAGGTATTAAGCCCATGCCCACGTTACTGCACACACCATGTTGCACTCATACCCCCCGTTTTCCTTTCGGAATAATGCAATCCTAACATAAAAGTGCACCGCACAACAGTACTAAGGAGTTTTGGTAGATCGTTTCCGCTTTTCAAGTGCGCTTTCCGCAGTCTAGTGCAAACCCCCGAACTGCGCAGGCAAGGCTAGTAGCGCGCAAGCGCATTAGCGGTGTCTTTGTTGCAAAGGGAAAAACAGAAGGGAAACACGGACAACGAATACTCTCTGAAGTTTCTTTAGCCGCGTACCGACGGGTTTGGACTTCCGAACAAAATATTCTGCATGTTGCATACGAAATTCCTTCTTTATTGACTCGTTATTACATATTAAAACATGCGAGGATGTTTTGTATTAAAAGTTCTTTTTATCAAGCAGACGACTGTTTGTTTTCTTTCGTCGTCTGCTATCTGTTCTCGGGTCCCTACGCCTCCGGCAGGGATGTGCGAACAGATAGCGAAGACAAAAATACACAAAGAATCGCTTGGTTTTAGATATATTTTATTAAACATAAGAAGTTTATTTGTTTCTTCGTACAAAATGAAACAGATTAGGTTCATATATTTTCTGAAATTAATATTGCTAGTGTTATGGAGATCTCGGCGCTTTTCCTTTGAGCACTCAACCTGGGAGCGAGCTCGTAAACCACTGTGCCAATGACGCAAAGATCGGTATTGGGGAAAAGCGATGCACGACTCTCATTATTGCTCTATTTTTAAGATTTCGCCACCTTAAAGATTTACCCTCCATAAATTATATGTTTAACTTTGTGTGAAACGGCATTCGCGTGCCTTCTTTCAGATACCGCGCAACCGTTAACGCAAAAACGATTCAGATTTTTTTTAGTTTTTTTTTATTCTGAATTTTTTTTTGGAAGGATAGTCGATAGCACCAAAATTTACTTCTTCGGTCAATACCCTATATGAGCACCTTCCTCTACTACAGTGGTTTTGATGACAGTCCTTCAATGGTCAGAAAAAAATAAAACTTGTAGTCTCTGCTCTTGTGATCTGTATCCACTGCTACTGGGGCCCTCCCGCTGCCTGCTCTCCTCTGCATTATTCTTGATCTCAATAGAGTCGTGGTGCATTACCATAGATACAGGGGCGACAACGGAACCTTTTGCGGAAGTCTTCCTTCTATTCCCAACGCCGCTTTACCCCCGCCCCTCCCATCTTAAAACTAAGCCCGACCCTAAAAATTCTCACATTCCCGCCTGTGGCGTATAAAGCAGCGCGAGCAGCTGGTGAGATAGAGTATAGAAATAAACTAAATAAATAGGGAATAAAATAAATACACCCTTGTATGTTTGAATTCGATATTTTGTTTAATTTTAGACTCACACATGACAATCTTTCCAGGGGATCACAACCTTGGATGTAACTTCGATTATTCGTTCTGTGACTGGAAACCTGTTCTGCCTGAAAAAAGCGAGACCGCAACATCGACGTGGGAAAGGATTCGACCTGGGACTTTCCTGTGGTTAAGACCTACTCGAGACCATACCAGTGGCCACCGCGAAGGTGACTCATACTTTGCGGCGCTTGGCTGCAAAATAGCGTTTCTCATGCACTACTTCTAAAGCAGACTTTGTTTACCCAAGAAGCTCAGTTTGTCGGGACAAACTTTGGTTTTAATTGCTAAATTTAGAACCCTAAATCTAAAACATCTTTTTGAATGACCTAGCTTGATATTCCTTAACCAGGTTTTGGTTATTTCGACCCTAAAACTGCCCAACAAGTGGCAGACCTAAACTCCACTGTTCTATTTTAAGGTTCACCTAACTCCTTCTGTCCTTGGTTCCCACGAGAATGCCATATTTAGGCCTGTGTTCTAGTTCTTTTGGAGCAGCAATGAATTTAAAAATTAGTAAAAAATAACCATTGATTATTTAAAGTTCACATATAGGCCGCAAAAGTGTCTGCATCGAGGAGTAATCTGAATTCTTCAGGATTTTCGATATAATAATATTTTAGGTGTTTTGGAAACCCCTACAGGAGACATATGTTTATTCTTACAGGTCAAGATGAAGTCTGCTTTGCATCTCAATTTCTTTTATATTGCTTAAAACTTTGGGGAATTCAAACATTACAGTTATATATCAATTTCAAGATACTGCGGCTCCAGACCGAATGTCATTGCCGGATTGGTACAAATTTAAAATACAGAGAGAACCATAACACAAAAACACTCTCTAACGAAATATGATTTTTAGTGCGGAAATAACATTTTCATCTGAATGAACATAAGCATGTTATTTTGGGGTTTGGAAATGAGTATTGTATCTCGAAAGAAAATAAAAATGGCAATATTGCGTTTAAAGTTTTATTGCATGATTCTTCTGGTGAAACGGTCCTGGTGAATTGGGTGAATTAAAATGAACACGTATTTAAAAGTTAATATAAAAAATCCCAAGTAGAAGAAACTCAAAATAATTCCGTCTACTTATCATTACCCTAGATTTTAGCGTGTGAAACTTGGCTTTGAAGAAGTGCGATGGGGAAGCTAGAATACCTGAAACTTTAGTTTTCTAAAATCTTAAGGTACCTTTAAATTTCAAGAAGGGAAATGATGGTTGCATGTCTTTTTAGACTATACTCAAATGGCTGCATGATTGCGCTTTTACTTTACAACAACTGTCCCAGTTGCCAATGGCGACTAGACATTGAGAACCTACATTTATCTAGGTCGAACATCTCTGCATTGAATATTTCTGTAAATACATTTTTCTAGGTCGATTCCTGATTTTACGTCCAATGAACATGATGGTTGAATCTGAAATTGCTGGTCCTATTCTACAAGCCAACGGCACCTGCGCTGTGAGTAGCGAGATATTTATTTACAGGAAGTGTGTTTCTAAAATGAAAAAAAATTCTTTGCACGGCATGTGTTTAGGCGTGCGGCTTCACAAACAAAAACAAAGGTCTCTAAAACTACCACACGAAATTGCGACGCAGGAAGGGTAACGGTTGAATGAAACACGTAAGCGTAACTCGATAATGCTGCGGGCTACGTTTATTTGATTCCGCTAAACATAGCGGCTAGCGTTTTCCTGCTGAAGTTAGTAGCTCGGCAGTTCGGTAAATTTAGCGGAAGTTAGCCTTACCCCGAAGCTCTCACACGTTTTAAAATAAAACATCAGCTCAGCGCAACACGTGCTCCACATTCCCTCTCGGAATTTATTCGTGAAATAATATTTATAAAAAACAAATGCGTCAGTTATTTGCTCGCCGCCTTTGATGTTTTCATTGAACTTCGCGTGCATTACTGGGTACAGACGACACAATAACCGAACTAACCAACATTCAGTCGTTAATTTTTGTTTCGGGTTCTAATTAAAGGTTGTTTTTTGATTGTTAATTATTAGATGGCGAAGCCAATTTAAGCTGTTTTCGATATGCTTATATTATGAGCAATATTTCATTACTCTTCCAAGTTTCGTTGCGATATTCCCAAATTTTACGCAGAAAAAGCTGGGGAAAATATTGGACACACGATGAAAAAGCCACACCACTATAGTCACAAGCAGGCTAAAAAAACACACACACGAAAAAAAAAAAAAAAGCCAAGCGTGTTGAGATTTGCGACCTTTTCATCACATCGCAGCGAATGAAATTGCGGCATTGGCCGACACAGGAACAGATCACCAGGCAAGAATCGCGAAGACCCTAAGTCACGCCCAACGTTTTTTTCAGTTTTTTTTAATACCAATAACTATAGCACATCATTTCACACATGAGAACAATAAGCATAGCTTTCGCTCGTTTCTGACATAGACTTCGGTTGACGTAGCCCAACGTTGCGTCACCGTTTTGCTGGAACTCGTGCGCATTGAAGTTTACGTTAAACTTGGGTCCCATTTAAACACTGAATGTTCTCTCGTGTTTAAGCTCGCTTTGCGCTTCATCGAGGTAGAAAATGTGAAGAATCCTTTGCTCATGTTTTGTGTAAACGCTCATCATCACTGTCAGCTTAGAAAACACATGGCCTGGCTTATGATAGCCACGCTCCCTGATTCAGTCTTCCGCGTCCATATCGGCCAATGTTGTTTGCATCGGCTGCGGACCGATTGTGAAATGCTGGACACCCGCTACGCTCTGCATTTCCTAAGCTGCTTTCCGAAGCTGTATAGAGCGTCCCAAGCAGACGCTCCGCTGTAAAACAACCACGAGGAATTGTCAGTTGCATATTAAATGCTCAAACTTCGCCGAATGTTGAGTGAGCACGTCAGTTTCACCATGTGAATAGTGAAAAATCTCTTCCTGTAATATATATATATATATATATATATATATATATATATATATATATATATATATATATATATATATAATAAATATAAAACAATCTAAGAGCAAATATTTTACTAAGATCAAAGTTGGCTGCGTTCGCAGACGGCGACTTAGCGGAGCGTTTGATTGTGGCGCAGCAAATAGACAACAGAGTGCGTCGTCTGCTCCTTGCGCCTATCGAGAAATGACGACACAAGTAAATAACGTTTCTAATTCTGTCGTCTGCGAACATGCCCAACCTTCATTTTGGCAAGTTTTTCGCTTTCATTTTTTACAGGATGAAAACTTCCCCTTGAAATTTCCAAGGTTCAAACTGACCTGCTCAGGGAACGTTTGGTGAAATTTTGGGCATTATATATGCGGAGCCGATATCTTCGGCTCGTTTTACAGCGGGAGGTTTTTTTGGGACACCTTTTCGGACACGAATTTCCGTAGTGCTTTTTGATACTACTTTGCAGTGTTGAAGTAAGCAAAGAGTTACATTCTAAGAAGAAGAACGAGTACCTTATTTTCGCAACCCACGTTGTTTGAGCAACAAGTAATGAAACTTCACTACGTTCTTATGGGAACTTCTAGAACAGTGGTTCTCAACAATTGAGGCCTCGCGGACCCTTGTGGGTCGGCGGAGATGATGGAGGACCCCGTTAATTATTATAAGGATATAATAAATGGATATAACTTAAGGCTAATCTGAAAGAGACTTCTCCAATTGACGTGCACACTGGAAAACTCACCAGATAATTGGAACATTTCTTTTTAATTTGAATAAAAATACAACTTTTATTACCGGTATGACTGATAAGGCTGGGCTTCACGGACCCCTAGAGTGCCTCCGTGGACCCCAAAGGGTACGCGTTCCCCAGTTGACAACAACGTTTATAAAAGATAAAACAATCATTTTGACGTCATGTCGCACACTGACTGTAAAGCTGGAGAAGAGCAACAAAAAAATTCACTTATATAAGAATATTACTGCTGAAACCGTAAGGTGTAATTTTTAATAACCCCTGTGCTCACATTACATAGTTTTATTTGTTTTCTTTAATTCGAAGCTCTAGTTGTTATTATATCCATTTGCACTTACGAGTTACATACGACTTATCCTATTAAAAATAAGGAAACAATTGGCAGGAATCCCTTTAATTTCAATGCTCATGTTACATGGAATGCCGTATTTAAACAAAAACGGTCGTATATATATTTCTGAACACAAAAAAAAATGTCGCGTATGAGCATCGAAAACCGTTTTTTTAAATACCCCACTAAATCTAACAGGGAAACTTACCAAATGTATATTTCACGTGATGTCAGGCCATACATAATTTTAGCGTGAAACTGAATTGGCATCACGTGACGTTCTTTTAGCAGTTAAGTTTAGGAAGTTTACCCGTCAGATTTACTGGGAAGACTGAATTAGTGTTTAGTTCATGTGACATCAGTTTCCCTACTAAATTTAGAGGTAAATTTAACTTTTATTTAGGTTACGTCACGTCACGCCTTGTTGCGTTAAATTCGTTGCCAAATTTACTAAGGAAATGCACGCATTAACGGACAGATGAGTGAAGGGAGGTAGATTTAGAATTCAAGGGCATTACATTCATGCAATGATCTAATATCTGTTTTTATTAAAATATAAAAAAAAATGTTTTGACAAGCTTGGCAGGTTTCAAGGTGTAGTTGTATTTTCTCCCCCCAGATAACATTCTTCTATATGATCTACAAAGGCGCCCCATCTAAGCTTATTCTGGGAGTGAGATATGCCAAAGGCGGGCCGCTTACACAAATCTGGAGCACATCGACACCCACATATGGCTTTTACTTTATAGAAAGGATGATTGTTTTCGCAGAGGAGGATCCGTTCCAGGTAAGAAGGACTGAATGATTTTCTGCCTTGTTGAAAATTATCCTTTGATGAGTTTGATTTTGCCAGATGCATCTATATTAACAGAATCAGTGATGTAGAGCTAGTGAAGCAATTTACGATTCCCGGTTGTATATTTTCAAAAAAATAAGGATTAAGTTTTTTGTTCCATCAATTGTAATCAAAACAAAACTTGGAGGCATTTGAATTGTTATTAAATATTTTAGTTAGTAGTTAAATATGATACATAGACCGCAAATTCTGTCAGCTCCTATTTCATGGTCACAAGATAAAAACACAATATGAGGCACATACATACACGTATGCAAATAGCGTCTCCATGGAACGTGCTGTGTAGATAGTTTCTGGATGTTTCTTGTCTCCGAGTTGTAAAAATATGGTTATGTGTCCCCAGTGTTTCTGAGCCATGATTCTATTATCTTATAGCACATATTCGTAGCATATGTAATATGGAAGCACCTTTTTGCGGAGCTTCTTTATGGTCATGATACTTGATACTCTGGTGTTTGGAAGCCAGAGTGCCAACATGCATAGCGGAACATGACATTTCGATTTTTGCAACAAAAGGGTGGTTTGTCAGAACCAAGCTGTGGACGTTAACAAATGATAATCTTAAGTTAAAATACGTATCCTATGTCAGTTTCTTTTCTTTTTTGCGCAAATCAAAGATTTTGGGCTTTAGAGAAATGCCTTTTTTTTATTCTGCCATCTAGTCATTGTCTGTAAAATACGGCGTCTGAAGCCTTGCGTAAATAAGACATTAGGTTTCTGCAGCGCGACCTGGGATAATCAACCTGAATAAAAAAGAAATCATTGTAAAATTTATTGCCAGTACTGATACTAGTTAGGAACTACTTCGTGGTTTAACAAATTACCTTGTGCACGACCCACAGGTAGACCAAAGTTTTATTTTTATATAGGTAAACAGCCTCCAGCAAACGAATCTTAACTTTTTTTAACTAATGCTGAAGTAGTTGCTTTTTATATAAGTAATTGAACCTTCCCTTTGCCAGAAGTCATTTAAAGCGTATACGTAACAAAACTGAAAAACTTGGTTGAGCTAAGGTGAATATTCTGTTTGATATCACCTTTTTCCAAATGCTAGCGGACACTGAGGATTAGACTTTCCATTAGGGCAGTGTCAGAATCTGCAGTGTTATGCGCTTTTTTTGATTATGGGCGTGCATTGCTGTCCGCTATTATGATGAAGCAAGGATAAGACGTTTCTACATAGGGCTCCTACTCTACGATTATGTGAGAACTTTCTTTTCAGCTTCTTATGGGACTCAGTGTTAAACTAATACAAAGCATGATTGCGCATTTTGTTTACCCAAACGGTATGCCTAGGGAAGGTTTCTGTCAAATAATTTATTTTTATTGCTTTTGTGTTTCGAGGGAAATGACTGTGGAAGTAGTCTGCTTTGCGCTTCAAAGAACAAGACTTAATTTGAGGACACACTGTCTCAATAGGTTTTCTTCAAAGGAAGACACGAAGCCACGGATGGAGCTGCTTACATCGCAATCGACGACGTCTCCTTTTCAAAAGGATGCCGTGCATATCACGGTGAGGATCTCCATTTGTGTTTGTTATCACAAAAGCTCTTATGACAAAAGCATTAACCGAACTTGACTTTCAAGTCAGGCTGGTTTATTTGGCCCACATTTGTGTTAGTCGACTACCATTATGTTCAGGGGGGTCACAAATTTATTAAATAAATTTGTTTCAGAGACACTGTAGTTGTGTTAATGCACATAAAGAATTCAACAACAAACAATAATGAATTGAGCTAACCTATTTAAAAAAATACACAAAGAAAAACCTAAAGCAACGACTTTTCTTGTTATGTTTAAAATGAATGATTTTCTGTCAGTAATGTCGATCTGGCCTTGATATTTTCGTATTTACTCATGGGTAGACCGGAAGTTTTGAGGTACTTTTCTTTTTCGCATTGGCATTAACGTGTTTCCTAATTTTGAAGGTGATCTTTGCACGTTTCTGACGGTTGAACGAATAAGAACCTAATGGGATGAGCAATAGTCTGTATGTATCTCCGCAGTTTGAGTTTTTTGGCGGAAAAGCTCGCAATCACGAAATTTTTTCTATAAAAAAAATATGACTGGTGAAGTTTGGGGACGTTTTAGCTATCAATTGAGGCCTATTCGCTTTATTTTTTTCTTATGATTTTTGTCGCGTAGAATATAAAATTACACGTGTATTTTAATAAACCTAATTAAACACAGTACGGCTCAAGCTACAACACAGTTTCGACTACTCGTCGCAGATATTGAGGAATGTGAACGTTGTATAGCCAGTGAGAGAATAAGACATTCGGGGCGTGGGGAGTTTCGAGCGTGTAACAATCACTCGAAAGCCAACGAGATGACACCATTAGCTGATAAGAATGCTGAAAAAACAAATCAGGTACCAATAAGCGTGAGTGGTATAATAATAATTATAATAATGCTAATAATAATATAAATAATAATAATAATAAATCTTTAATAAATCTGTCCAAGAACAACCAGAGTGGTCTTCACTTTGGTACACACAATAAAAAAGCAAAAACCAAGCGAACGAACATAGCCAATCAAAGTACGAGATAACATAAAATTGAAGAGTGGAGGAGAGGCGAGGAAAGTACGCACTCTAAATGGTTGCCATGTGGTATCTTAACTTTTTACGGAAAACGAAGATCTCGCTAAAAATATCTAGGCTAGACAACGGGCTTCTATTGAATGAAGTCACGCCTTGTGTTTTTTGTTTTTGTTTTGTTGAGTGTTGTTTTAAGTTGTCAATGAATAGCAGTGCCATTGCAATGACTTCAATTGACATTTTAGCTTCTCAAAAATCCCGCAGGGTTATCTCACCGGCATGGGTGCAAGTCTACACATCTCACAAAAAAAAAATTCGTTTGAGCAATATTCAATGAAAACTTAACGAGCAACTTTTATTGAAAAGGAAACCGAAATGAGTGATTGGCATTGCTTTAGCAGCATGAAATATGATCACAGTCGAAATATTAGATGAAAGGTAGGACGCGCACTCCACTAAAAACGATTTTAATGATGCGGACAGCTGCTCTTTAGCGGGTGACAACCGGGTTGGCTTGTAGTTGAGAAACACTGGCGCAGCACACCTGTGACGTCACATCGCGGTGGAGCTGAGGTTGTTTGGTTGTACAGCGCACCGCCGCACCACGACGACGTCACGTTCCAGCCGTATGACTGATGATCAGTGTTGCCATCCCTCTACCCAGGCAGCACAAAAATATTGGACCAATAACGGACAAATATTGGTCAACGTTTTAGGAAATAACGGTCCAATAATGATTTGCACCCCGGCTCCAGATCGGTCCAATAACTTGAACCGATCACGGGGAAAGTTTTGAGACCGATATCGCCAACCGTTTTGTGACCGATGTCGTCAACCGTTTTTCGGCCGTCTTTCGAAACCGTTTTACAGCCGTCTTTCAAAATGCTTTGTGGCCGTTGTCGTTGAACCATTTTGGGATTTAAATGTCTTCTTGAAATATGTAAGAATACGAATGACGTACTATGACATCAAATGTGAAACTCTTTAATTTCAATGGAAACGGATGCTTCATTTTAGTGGGAATCGGAGATGTCTGACCATCTTCGACTTGGACAAGGGGTATGGGAGCATTGCAAAAAAATTTCACTCAATTTTATGGGTAAAAGTGGCGGGTTCCATAGTGCCAGCATGGTTTCCCGTAATCTAGAAACCGAACAGTCTGTTAAAAACAAGGCATATAATTTTGTAAAATGACGGAACGTCTATATTCCACTTAACAGACAGTTATCCATTTTCCCATTTTATTGGTAAAAGTTGCTGGGTTTATATTGCCAGCAAGATTTCCCGTAATCTAGAAACTGGACAGTCTGTAAAAACAAGGCACATAATTTCGTAAAATGACGGAATGTCTGTAGCTCACTACGGAGGGCTATCCGTAGGAATTATGAAAGCTGTCGGCACTAAATAATGAAGCACTATACCTTTCGGCCTTAGATAAGGCCAAAGTTACGAGCCATCCGTACCACCCGCACCTCCGATACATCAGGCGACTCCCCTGGAAGGGCTATACCTTTGCCAGGGGTGTCACCTGACGTATCGGAGGTGCAGGATTGGTGCGGATGGCTCGTAGCTATGGGCTTCAAGAAGACAGAAAGGTCTAGTGCTCAGTTATTTAGTGCAAACAGCTTCCATGTTCAAGCAAGCCGAAGTCACATGAAACTTTTAAGGTATGGATTGGTATGGAGAGTTCATAGGCTCTGTCATTCAATATACTAACTTGTATAATTTTTTATCCTTACACAAAACAACAAGAGTTCAGCAAGAAAAAGAGCACACAACCTCTTCTACTCATTGCCAGGATTTTGTTTGTGTGAGGTCAGCTGTTTGTAGAGATGACAGCTGAACAAACGAACCAATTAAGAAGTTTTGCCACAATGCCTTTATTGAAAGAAGGCATGCCTTGCTTTAAGTTGGGAGAAATTTTACATTACAGTTGTCCTTGTGCTCGCCATCTAGATGCCCCTCCATGCTTGTGCTTATAGTTGTCCTTCAATTGGAGACCTCTTCGATATCTTCATGGTGCATGTAAGAGCAGCCTGAAATAAAGAGCAGAAGAGGATTCGAAATCAATACACAATCACAACAAGCTGTATAGGACATACATGGTTAACATCAGCAAGCAATGTGTTTACTACCTAGCCCAGCTCCCCACCTTTCTACTGCACATGATATATAAAACGAACCTCCCATAAATTGAACCAAAGTAAAAATTTGCATTGATTTGAATACCCAACACAACAAGTGCTTGACAAATAAAACTAGCAAATTAAAATTTGCATAACCATTCAGTGATATTAAGCACAATCAAGTGAGCCATATCTCCTTTAGAGTATACAGTAGGCTTGCGATAATTCAAACTCGGAGATTTAATACCTCTGGTTAAGTCAAACAAATTTCAAAACTTGGGCTGTCCCGCTACGTTTTCAATGTATTCATAAGCCGCTTAATTTGAACGACGTTTTCGTGTAATTCATACTTTTTGTTCTCGCGGCCCCGTTGAGCGCACTTCTTTCCGAGCACCGGTGCACTGCGGAGAAGCAGCACCTGTGAAGCTTGCTTTCACAGGCTCTGTTTTCCTGCGGTGCACTGGTGCTCAGTAAAAAGCACACTCTACAGGGCTAAAGCAGAGCAGAGCCGTACATATAGATCTCGGTATATGAAAGGAGCAAGCAGAGCCAAGGCCTACATCAGACGCAGATAGAGGGTTCGACAATCTCTCTCGGCCAACCAGAAGCTGAAAATAATACCCTAGCTATGGTAGCGAGAAACGGTTTTGATAAGTGCCTAAGGGTTAATTGTAGTAACTCTCCATGGTTGAAAATATGGTGCACGCACTGTTTCAATTATGGTTATGCAAGTAGATGTAGGAAACTAATGTTCCACTTGATTTCTGTTTTGCTCAAATGGAGTCTGACCGCTTCGACGCCTGGTGTATGGATTACAACAATCGTTCAGCTGGTTGCGCACGTTTTTTTATATTTTCTATATCTTCCATCGTGATTTTGCATGACCACGATCAAAACATCACTGCACCCCAGTCACCGAGAGTTACTCCGACGAGCTCATTAATTTTGTTTCTCACAACCACTGCCAGGATATTATGCGCGGCTGCTGGTTGGCCACATACGAATTTGTGAAAATGCTCTGAAACACGCCCAGCCCACCTTAAGCGAAAGGCGCCTCCTCATTTGCCTTCTATACATCCAAATGAATGGTTAAACTATCTCTATATACGTCTCTGAAGCAGAGGACACATGAGCGGCAAAAACGGGCGCCGCGCGGCAGTTTCCATATCAATTTACAAGGATGCTGTGATGTGGCGGCATGGTTTTATATCGCAGTGTTCACGCAAGTTGCTATAGAAACTGCAGCACAATGCCTGTTTCCATTACTCATGGGTCCCTGCTTAACAGTCCCTAATAGACAACTTTTTTTCTGGTTGAACAAACTTAATTTTGTTTTGAGGTGTCATGTGCTGTCTAAACAGTCCCCGATAAACAACATTTTTGAGAGTCGAATAAACTTGTGTCATAAATTTTACTAATGTTTCATGAATGGCATACCAGCTTATGATTAACGGGCCTGTGCAGAGGAAATCATGAAATATCTGTTTTGTATGTGTAGCCATCCATATAAAAAATCATAATTTATCTTGCAACATATTTAGATGAGCTTTTGATAATTCATGCAAAATTCGTGGCTTCCTGGAGTTTGAAATAATGAGTGTCTACTGTATGTCACATTCAAATTAATGGTTTAGCTGCTTGGGCTTAATTGTATCTGAACCTTTTCCTTTGGCGGTGCATCAAATGTAAAATAGTACAGCAATGTATAGGCTCTAGTTTGTGCACTGGCACAGGCTTGTGCAAATAAGTCAAACTAGCATTAAAGGGAGCATGAAGCACTTCGTAAGAAATCTGAGTTAGGAGCAGACTTACATAGCATTTTGGCTCGTTAATTCAGTAATCACA